ATATACGAATAGGTAAAAAACTAGATCTTAGTTAGTACACTGTAAGTATGCTGACACTGCCCACTGAACCTAAAGCTATAATCTACATTTTAAGATTCGGCATCAGATAATTTAGATGGTAACACTATGCGACGAAAAATTCTAACAATATGCTGATCTGAACAGATCCCCGCTACTACACAAACACCCTTCTCAGATCCGAACTAAACATACTGGCACACGTGTTGGAATAGCGAGTTGAATAAAAACTTTTAGCAAAATGAAATCTTTATAAAATCGTAGAGTATGAAAACTGTGAATTTCAGAGCAGCAGCAAGCTTACCGTCTTTGGCACGAACCCGAAGTATGTGTTAGCAATACCACTGTGCTCAGAATACTTGATTTAATTTTCTCTTTCTAGAAGAAATTTTTAAAGATTTTACAAAAAAAATTAAGATTTCGCGTAGAAAGAAAACATTTTTACCACAAAAACTATTTTTAAAGCAATACTCCAAACCAAGTTTCATTTAAAATGCTGAAAAGATATTCAACATACATACTATACTATAATGGATATCATCGCTCGAATCAGATTTCCATCACAGCTTATCCGTGAATGGTACAGTGGGCGACACAGGACTACGCAAATATAATACCTATGTACATATTATAAAGGCTATAATGGAATATAACGCGCCCACCGTACAACAAGTGCGGACGTAAATCCGTTCAAATGAAATAAGTAAATACATGCCTTGCTTCGGAGATTGAAGAGAATATCGAACGTGATTCCAAATGATGATTTTTACATAATATTATCCACTTAAAAGGAAGCAATACCAATTTAGCTGTAACAAAGAACGTTTGAAATCCAATGACAGTTTGCTACTAAGGCGTTACATAGTATTTCAAAGTACAATTTAAATTGATAGCATTATAGCGAGAATTTCAACAAATTCAATTTAATCTCGTTTCGATTAATTTTGCAAACAACCAACAACCTTTACGTCTGATCATGATTAAAAGCGATTAAAGATCTTTTGTTTTTTTTATAAAATTCTCTATATACACTTCTGATTCTTCATTATCATCTTCTTCTTCTCCTTCTTCTTCCTGCACCTGCAGTAGGACGTTTTAAGGGTGATTATTATATATATGTAAATAATGAAACTATGAAAACTACATAAATTATATATTGGTAACTTACAAGCTCGAATGAAATTAGTTTATTTAATTTCACCAAACAACAAATCATTTTAGAGCTTTTATATAATAAATAAATAAATAATATATGAATATAATATTTTTGACATAACTGAAGCCAAACAAATTCAAATAATAAATGTAGATTTTCATTTCCAAGAGCTACGAGCGTATCAACCGGACATTGAATCCTAAATAAATATAAAACCAACTATAAAAAGACTTGTGAATACTAAAAATCGGTGAGAATTCACAATAAATATTATTCAAAATAACGCTATTGTGAACATTTATGTCTATCCAATATCCAAATATGAGTTAAAAAGGCCTTTGCAGATATTATTTTAGTTTGATTCTATATTAATTGATAAAATTCGTTGTAAAGAAAGTGTTATACACTGTGTATACTGTGTATATATCATTTAAATATTTAATTTAAAAAAATAAAGTGTAAAACCTATTTGCTATGAATGAAATATTTTTGTAGATTATTATTTTGTATATTTTTAGTTATTGGTGAGTTACAAAAGAATTTCTGATTGAACTAAGATTTAATAAAAAGTGTACCGATATTTGCTTTTTTCTTATATTAGAAACTAACATAGTCAAGCCAATATATTAATTCTGCTAAGTAGCAGTTGAGTAATGCTTACTAAAATATAAATAATAATTCCAAAGGGAAAAACTATCTTTTAATAAACATATTTTTGCTAAGTCTACATAAAATAAAATTATAATTGAATCGAATCTGTACACTAAATATTTTTTTGGAAAATCTTATTCAAATATTCATTATTTTCGATACTAAAGGCCGAATATATAGTTATCAGATTTTTTGTCTGTCTGTCTGTTTGGAAACTCATCACGAGAAAACCACTGGCCGGTTTTGGTGTTCGGTATGTTGATAGCTAGTTATCCGGGTCAACATATAGGATAATTTTTATTGCGGGAAAACATCTCATCTCTGAGAAATCTATACTAACAGTTACTAACATATAAATATGTATATAAAAACAAATAATAACACCACATTATAATATGTATAGAACGCGGCGATGACCCAGTAAATGAATAAATTACATATGAAAATTACTCAGAAACTTACTAAAATAAATCTGGTGTCTGATATTACGTTAGATTTTCACCGTCGACTTGCTCTCAAGTCGTCCATGCTGCATTTGTGGGGTTATTTATGCATTTCGGACAAGGCCCGGTGTCGCCGTACGGACGGCGGACGTTCGGTCACGGGTTAAGTAGGTCAACACAATTTCGTAGCATATCCACATTTTATACTAATCTCACTCGAAATTATTAGAACGAATGAGTCTTTAGATTTAAATGAAATGGAAATATCCGATTGGGATGGGACATGCGAAATTTTAGTTAATTTTGTATTTATAATATGTATTGTATTTAAAGTTATATATGTGTAATGTATCTACTATCTGGTATCCATAACACAAGCCTCGTAGCTTACCATGGAACTAGATGGTGTTGTGTGTAATGTCCCAACATATTTATATATTCGACTTGTATGTAAATGCTTCGTAGCGAATAGCGTATGTCACTTTCATCTCATTAGCATGTAAGAGATAAAGTTACAGTCTAAAATGTTCCGCTTTAACCATATAAATTGTCTTTCTTCATTACAACATATACATTTTTATTTTGCCTTATAATCTCACATTTGTATTGATCGATGAGATATGATATAGAATGTAGTACAATGTACAATCTTATAATATTATATGAGCAATAAAATTTCATGTATTTCGGAAACGGCTTTAACGATTTGGATCAAATTTTATATTTAGATAAGGTTTGGCTTTTTAATATTTTTTTTTAAATTATAGCAGTCTTTTCTGAAGAAATGCAAGTTTTATATCTTTCCCGAAAAAAAAACGCCGTGTGAAACTCGGTTGCTCAAGTACTTTAAGCTTAAAAGCTCTAAGAAAGAAAGTTCCAGACGTATCTACGTTTAATTAGCTATGAATGGTGCCTGCCATTATCATTTTAATGGTAACGTAAGTTAAGATATTTAAAATGGTTATACTATGTTGATAACACTTGTTGCATCTAGTAAGCTTTGTGAGTCAGAAGTTACGATTTTTACATGCACTTGAAACTTAGATTTATTCCATCTAACTTTATAGTTCTCTTTTTAAGAGCTTATCAGATTTACTACCTCAGTTGCAGTTCAAAGTATACTCGTAGTGTAGTAAAAATATAAAATAACTACCACTATGCAAGACTAGTCATAGTGAAGTGGGTAAAGACTGATTCAAATGTCGCGTGTTCGATTCCTTGTCGAGGTATCAATCTTTTAAGCCCAAACTTTTAATGTTTGGTTTTTATATAAAATGAATAGGCATATATGCATGTACATACATACACACGTATTACATAATATATGTATATTATTTGATAGATAATGTCGTAAATATTTGTATATATCGTTTCGATTGTTGGGTGATGCCGTATATGGCGCATCGAAATGATCATCTAAGAAAAATGTCAAGATTCATATTTTACATATGACTGTTGCAAGCTAAACCGAATCATCTCGCAGATTAGTCGTAGATACATGCCTATATACACCAGGGATTAAGTTATCGATTCGATATCATGTCGGGAAGTGTGTGGGAGGGATCGTCTAGCGCAGCGGTTCCCAAATAGTGGTCCGGAACTCTAGGGTTCCGTGAAAGGGGTTCCCAGTTCTGTGAGAAAGTTAAATAAATCGTTAAACGACAGACATAAAGCCTAATTTTAGTGCTATTATCATGTGGAAAAATTTCATTCATCACACTAAATATATTTTATTAATAATATATTTTTGGTACAATAAATGTTATTATAAGTATTAATATTGTACATTTATGATTTTCACTTTCAAGTCAAATAAGATAGTATTCTAACTACAACACAATCAGTATAGTTTTAATCAAAATGGGGTTCCGTTAAAAAAATTATGATCAATTGGGGTTCCGTGGCCAAAAAAATTGGCAACCGCTGGCCTAACGTACATTTATGTAGATAATCTAGACGCAGAACGTAGAATACGATAAATCTCGTACGAAATTTATGACTGTATGAATTTGTTATAGTGGCGACAGTTTGACAGACGATCTCTTTTTTATGGCCGCGATTTAGATTTTAGAAGCCAAATCTTCAATTGTTTCTGTCAATTTTTAATTTTTATACTATACTAGCGACTTATCCTGGCTTTGCTCACGTTCGTCCTTAGGTTTGAAACAATACTCTACATGTTACACTTGGTCACAGGTATAAAACACATAGATAATGCGTACTGAATTTCATCCGAATATATTGTGTTTTTTTAAGGAGTTACAAACACACAGATTTAAAAGTGCTTGAGAATGTCTATCTATTAGTACATAGTATACAAAAGCATTTCCAGTTTGTCTTATTTGCTTTAGCAGCCAGAGGGACGCTTCATTCGTAATCAATATTGGGACTTTAGGTTTTCGCTCTGATATGTAATATTCTACAAATCTGCTACTTATTTGGTAAAACGTCGAGGGAAAATGAAAAGAAAAATATTTATAATGAAAGTTGCTAATGTATGAGGACTTTAGGAAAGTTGTGTGGAGTGTCACAGCTCTTAGTAATAAAAGCCAAAAAGTCGCATAAATACATATTAATGTTTTTAGTATAGGCAAGTTGCCATAAGCTCAGAATAGGGAAGAAAAGCAACCGAGTTGTTCGATAGTTTAACAGTTTTTTTTTTTTTGATAAAGTTAATATTTTTTATTTTGTCGATGGTCAAAATTTCTCAATGTTTTTGTTGATTTTTCCAGATGAAGTGGACGTAATCGGGTACACGTCTAACCAGAGCGATAGTGAGTCGTTGGTGTCCGGCCACAGCGGGGACAGCGGGGTGGTGGCGCGCCGGCGTCGTCGCAAGCATCGCGCCACGCGGTACACCAGGGTGTAGGTGAGTAGGTGCAGTGTACGTGGACATACATACAATAACTTCCATCTTATTATATGGTAGACCAGTGGTGAAATGGGTTCATATTTTGGACCTCACACCTATGATGTTCTCAAAATATGGTCATATGGTCTTAAAAACGAATACCACTTGCCATTCGATGAAGGAAAACGTCGTGAAACCTGCACGTCTGAGGGGAATTAGCAAATTTTCGTGGGATATATGGAAACCACAAATATTCTCTTAGCACTTAAAGGGAGACCTGCGCCTAACAGTCTAATGTTCAAAAGGGTTCAATACTATAATAAAATAAATCAACACATCAGTTTTGCTTTTCAATGTTCGTACCCTCCTTCACTTTTGTGTGTTGTGTATCTGTTGAATTTTATTTGAAATTAAGTCTTAATGTTAAATTAATACAACCTTCTTCTTTAACAAAAAAGATCTAACAAGGATGCTAACATGCCTTCAAAAATTTGTTGAAACAATATGAGTTTCATATATACATATCTCTATATCAGTAAAAGATAGAAAAAAATTGGTCAGCTTTTTGTCTGTCTGTTTGTCTCCGTATTATGAACTTTGGTAAATATTAACTACATAACATTAATTTGCTTCCAGGTGCGCGGTGCGCGGCGCGAGTGCTGTGCGCACTATCTTCGTATAAAAACAATCGTAGGACATTTTGTTGGTACATGTATTGAGGCGAATGTTGTTCGTGACAGTGGGGGAGTGACTTCAGATACAAAATATAAATAAATTGCACTAAACAACCCCCACTACCCTGTGTCGGTGGCCTGGATATAGTAATATTTGTCTCAAGTGACCAGTTGTGAGAAAGATGCGCCCGCGCCGCATGTCATACACGTTACTCGACACGTAATACCGAGTACAAAATTGCCAAAAAAAAAAAGTTAAAACAAAAGATTTTCTTTTTCCTCTCTTCTCTAAATCGTTTGGACTCTCGCTTTCATCACAATGGGGCCAGCATTGTATTATTACGCCCCATATCACATTTTTTTTTATCGTCTTATTTATAAATTATATGTTTATTTCCTTAGGTACTTATTGTTACTTCCACGTCGCGTATGTTGTATAGATATCGACTTATATTTTGTATATAATTTTTTTTCTTGTATAAATTAATCATATAGATTTTACATTTTGCGTTTTGCGCTGCGAAATTATATACATTTTTTTTGGGTTCTCCATTATGACTACCCACCAGAAAATATTTAAGTTCTAACAATTAAAATTATTGGATGGTACTAAATGTGTAACTATGAGTTTTATATTATGTCATAGTTCACCTTTCCGAACCATTTTCCTTACGAAGTGCAATCTCTCTCAATTTTGTTCGACTTTAGCTTTATGGTCGATTATTTATTTAATATTTATCAATTACAGATTAAAAAAACATATGTGGATGACCAAACGAACGAAATTCGGCCATAGTATATTTATTTGATTTTGTAATTACAATAAAATTATTATTTCCAAAATGGCGTTAACAATTTTGTTAGAGAAAGCAACACGTATCGAACATTGCGGACTAACATCGTATTGTTAAGTATTAATATTGAATGATTATGATCTCACTTCATTGTCACAGGCCTGTGCGAGTAATATGTCATTTGTTAGTTATTTGATCGCGTGTCACATCTTTCGTAATCAAGGTATTTATTGAATTGTACGCTAAAATACCATCAAAATCCGTCCAGGGCATTTGGAGTAATAAATTGAAAATATCGATTTACGAAGTCAACTTGTTAGAGAAATATCGATATACATACGTTGTCTCAACTCTGATCAATGTCAGATGAAATAAATAGTGTTCTATTTGACACAATTACTCGCATAGTTTAATATTTATGTGGACATACACATACCAAAAATAATATTATATGGAATAGATAACTGGACAATACACTGTGTCGATAAAACCTCTGAAACATCTAGAAGAATCAATATATTTTTGTTATGACTATTGTAACTTGTAATAAATTGTTAATTCATTTTACTGAGTGACTGGTTTCCTTGTTTTATTTTCAATTCGGTGGGTTTTCGTTCTAATGCTTTTTCCCACAGAATGTAATTTTTTTCATATTGTAAATTTTTTTAGGTATGGATGTTAAAATAAGTATAGTTATTAACTTATGATTATTGAAATGACAGTCTGATCTCTTAAGATAATGCGTTGTCTGTGGCGGCTGAGCCGCGTGTGTCCGTCGGGCGCTTTCGCAGAAAAAAAACCAAATGTCACGTTCGAAACTCCCGCCAGAACAACCTATTTGACATTTAAATGGCCATGTTTGTGTTTGTATAGTTTAAATAGTTGCAAAATTGAGTATTTATTGTTTTTTAAAAGCATTGAGAGATTTTATCGTCAACGAGTAAGTCTAGTCGAATTAAAAATTAATATATTTATTTAAAACCTTGTTAATTCGATACTAGTTTTGGCGGGAGTTACGCATGTTCCTGTGCCCGATTCGGTACTTCACAAAGAATACTTTAATGCAGGGCCAGTAGCCAGCAGCGGCCGTGACGCCGCTCAATACTCTATAACCTAGCGTCTGTCAAATCCTGCCTTGTATCATTTTGATTATATCACAAAATTTATTTATTTATATGACAGTGCTCGTATTTTATTTCACCGTGCCAGTGTTTTGCTTCGATCGACCCAGACCATGTTTGTTTCATTTGCGGTGTAAGGTAAGCGGCGACGGGACGCTTTAAGAGTACAAATTCTGTATAAGCCCCTATTTGAGTGTTAATTCTAACATTAATTTTAATCACGGAACAGGGAGATGGTATCGGGAGTGCGAGTCGTGTGTAAAGCGCGGGCGGTAGAAGCCTCCGATGCGGTTTTGCCTTCGATGTTGTCTCTTCCTTAACTAAATAATCTATCCTATGGCTACAGTGAGTTTCATTTGCGATATCTTCCGATCGTTCTTCTTAGCGACGCTCCGCGTCTATATTACAGGTATCGCTGTAACGATAGGATATGCGTCGCAGTACGCGCGTATCTTGTTAGATAAGAAAAGTGTTATTAGAAACAAATTGCAATAAATACCGCCTGCCGCCGCCCCCTCGCCTTTAGTCGCTGTAAAGTTAAACTTAGTCCGGCATTGTAAAAAATATCACCGATTTGTAAATATTTCGAGCCAAAATTTTTATACAAATTATTTCATAGATAATATATTCTCGGACCAAGCAGGGTGGTGCGGCGGTGGTCGGGGGCTGTGTGGCGCTCAACTGTCGAGACGATCCTTATTGCTTTATTTGTTGTCCATACCATAGACAATATTCTAGAGTAGACAACTGACAGCAAAACTGTAAAATTGACAGTGACATCGAAACAGATAAAAAATGACATGACATCTCATTCCTTGTTTTAATGTTATTGATGAAAAAGTATGGAATGTCATTTCATTTTTTATACACATAGAGGTAATAATTTCAATTAGTTTCCACTCTAGTATGTCTATGGTTACGTTTCGAGAGTTTAGTTGTCAGTGGATACTAGTGATGTGACATTGTCGTGTCCTCCACTAGTGTTTTCACTGCGCACGCGCAGTCGTCTGATCGTAGAGGCAAACATTAGGTATTCTGACTACTGCTAATGACTTGGCAGCATTATCTATGTATTTGACGAAAAGCACATATAATTTACTATATGTAAAAAGTTATAGAATTAATTTAATAAAATTATAAATAAATATTACTTTTGTATTATTCCTTCCCACACCTCAAGTAGATGGTAATTAAGAAATAAATTATTTTTTAGATAAATGTTATAAAGGAAAAGTATTAATAAAACATCCTTTTTAATTTACCTTTTATTTTCATACAATTCGATACAATAGAGACATCGACCAGCGATGGACAAAGACACAAATTCAACAAAATCAAGATTTAAATCAGATTCAATGTTAATTCCATTGTCGAACACATTTTTTTTAAATTCCGCCTTTTTTATACATACATTTAATAAAATATACATTGAAACTGATCTAATTATAATAATATATTATATAGAATACCGTAGTTTAAAACTCTTAATTAAAATCGGAAAAGGGTCTATTAATAATTGCTAATTGGATTGGTTAAATACTTTTTTTATTTCTCATTATTATTATTTTATTTCATTAACAAATTCTAAATGAAGTAAAAATGTGAAATTAAGAAAAAAAAATATTAATAAGACATAAGTCAAAACCTAATACAGATTAATTATTATATAAAATATGCATTTTTAATTAATATAATATAATAGGTACATATTATGACAAACTATTTTTTGGACCATAATTAAATTGTTTTAGAATTTACACATGTATATCATAGAGATGGCACAAACCACAGATAATATAAATACAGATAATTATAATTAATCTACTATTTCAGTAATATTGCTGTAGCAAAATTAAAAAAAAAAAACAAGACTGAAAATAACAGATTTTCTTGTTATAAAGTATTAAACCCATCATACACTTCACTATATAACATGACCTACAAATATTTGTGCTTTTTTTTAACCTACAATATTCCTACACCAATGTCCCTACAATGAGTATTAATTTACATTAACATAACACTTTATATAACAAAAACACGTAATGTTTATTTATTTTTGCGTCTGTGTACCGCATTTTAAGCTCGCGTGAACACCCTACGGGTTATCTATGGTCTTTATTCATATACTTAATAAGCTAAACGATAAATATTTGGCAAAATCCTAATCAATCGAAGTCTTAATAATAAATTCGGTAACTTTTATAAGAGAAAAAAATATCAAAACAAAATAAAAACTCGTTGAAATTAACAAAATGTAAAATAACATTTATTGATTGACTAAATGATCGTAATATAACAGTAAAACTTAAACAAAATAAGAAAATTTTAACTTCTTATAAGTTATTAGCACGAACATTGAACTACAAAACAAATTTACATATTATAATACAAGCCACTACATTATTGGTAACAAGTGGTAACTTAACGAACAAAACTAAAATGTAAAATATATACATACAACATTATTTCTAAATTAGATTTAATATTAAAAAAAATCAATTATAAGTACTTAAAGCAATTATTCGCCATTTTTGATTTAAGTACAATTGTATTGCAACGAAAAAATATATATAACAACAATACCAATTATTCGTAAGAAGTGATTAGATCTATAAAAATTTTCACACACAGACAGACAATAATACCATTCTTTTAACCTAAATTGTAATATAGGGCAACATTAAATATTTAATTAAAAAGCCATAATTTTTTTAAATGGCAACAAACAAAGGTGTAATTAATAAACAAACCAGGAATATAAAAAATATTATTATTACTATCGAATGTCTTATTTTGTCTTATCTGTGTGCAAAAATGATCTAATAAAAATATGGCAACCCTAAAACGCTATGATGAATCCTACGCCTTCTAAATTAGGAATTAATACTAGGATGAGCATTTAGGAATGTGTTTAACTTTGAATACATTAAACCTTTGAATTTAAAACTGCTAGTTTCATATATTGGATGAAGTATTCGCTAGTTATAGCATACGACTCTACTCGCTTCGTAGTCTATTTCCATTAAGAATTCAACTTAAATCCGTTTAGGCGTTATCGTATTAATTAAGCCGTGACAAACATACTCACAAACTTTCACATTTATAATATTAGTTTTATTTTTTGATATATTAATTTCATTTAGATGTTATAGTTATTAGAATTAGCAACTTTGCAATATTTTAGTTAAGACTTATTTATTTTTTTCATAATTATTTGAAAATTCATCCAACATGTAACACTAACCAAATTTCATAGTAAATGTATAATACAATATAAGTTTAAAAATACTTTTCAATTTAAACAATACGTAAATTCGAATTAATATATACGTATATAAGAATTAATCATAGAATAAAGTTACTAATATCAAAGAAAAAAATTTTTTTTTTTCATTGTTTCATACATTTTTTTCTTATAAAGACTTTCAATTCCATCAAACCTACTTTTAATTAGGACGTAGTTTTTATTCGAACTACTAATTATTGTATTCGATTTTGACTAAAACTAATTTTATTCAAGAAATAAAAAGTTTTTAGTTTACATTTTAAAATAGGTTTTGTATGTTTTTTTTTGTTTCTCAAAACATGGCTACGATTTCAATATTAACATTCAAAAGCAATGCGAGTCTAAGAATTTTAAGCATTTTTAATTCAACTGTAGTAAATATTATTTTTTCACAACAAAATAAATAAAACAGTTAAAAGTTTCAACATTAGCTTCAAGTTTTTTTTAAAAAACGTGAATAATTTCATATCTTTTCATAACAAGATCAAAATATTGTTAACTTGTTAAAACATAATTAAGTTTTTGTTTTTGTAATGAAAAATTTTTTTAATGAAAAAGATTCATTTTTTAATAATATTCATTCATATGTTGAAAATTATTTGTTCAATTAGATTAGTTTTTTTGAAAGGAAATGATTGCTAATATTCACTATAAGCAATAAGTGTAGTATCACGATTTTTTTACTAATTTTATTTTTTAACACTAATATTATCATTTAGATCTCTCTTCGATTAATTTGAACGACATTTTATTTTGAGAAAATCTTAAGATTAAGAAAGAACTATTATATATTTTATATTATAATATTTTTAAAATTGTAAAATAAATATCAAATAAATATTACAAGAAATCCTAAAATATTAGAGAAATAAATATTTCAAATACATATAAAGTAAATAAAGCCTTTAAAGCATTAACACAGATAAATTAATTACAATATTCACTTTTATAATATGTGGTCTAAAGATCATAAATGATCTCTTCCTTCTATTTGACTGCAAGAATATTGCACACAAGAATACTTAATTGCACGGAATGCATTACGCACATCTTGCTAACCTGCAAGAATACCATGCCTGCAAGGATGATGCAAGACCAATTTTGCAAGAACGTTGCACTGCAAGACAAGCTTGCAAGAATAATGCACAGTGAGAATTTGTTTTTATTAATTCATTATGGCTTACTTATCGGAATCTTGTACTAATTTGACGTTATCGTCGTCCCTACGGCTGGCCGGCCGTCGGAGAGGTCTTGGTTGCAAGATGGAGAATCTTTCATTTTGTTGTGAACCTGGCTTTTTACTGAGCGCTGTACGGAGATGGCTCTCACCTGCAACGAGAAAGAATTGTATTGGTAAATATTCTTTATTAAATCACTAAGTCCCAAGCCACGCTGAGTTTATTTGTTCCACACAATCTCAGAACCTACTGTACAAACTTTCACGTAAAGAAAGTCAGACTATCAATAAATCTTTTCGTTTTTTTTTCTCACATTCTCTGGTTTTATTTAAAATGTCAAATATTCGCGTAAATCTAAGAATGTATGCAAAATTTAAACATATTGTGAAATAAATTGCCGGTATGATGATATTTGATACGAATTAAGTCGTCCTTATTTATAGTATTTTCTGAGAATCCTTTCGTAATATGTTTTAACTACGAAGGGCATCTAGTTGATTATTCTGGTCATAACATATTTATTCTTATATCGTTAATCTGATTGCAATGGAACATCTGTTAACTTCACATTGCGGGCAAGCATATAAAAATTGCATGGACATAGTACCTTTATCATACATACGAGTACTACCTATTTAATACTTTGTTTGATTTACACCAATATTTGACATTTTAATAAAATTATCTTTTCGAATTGACCGTGGATTTATTTTAATTTTTGGTTTCTGACGTTCGAATGTTTTACAGTAATCATGGTCACGGGAGGGACTCAGGTTTTAGAAGTCTCAAAGATCATTATTTACTTGTTACAGACAGTGTCTACCCATAATTTTACTAAATGTATTATGTTATATGTACTGTCTCTCCCGTAACAATAATTGCTTTAATGCATTCGAAACGTCGGGAATTAAACATCAAAATAAATCCAAGAAAAAAATCCGAAAAGAAAGTTTTATTTCAAAACTTAACGATTTTTTTAATGTTGGGAAATGCATTTACGCTTACCACCTGCTTACATATTTATATGTACCAGGTGAACGTACGGACACACTAAAACTTAATCTTCTCTGTCTTTATAGGGAACATACTAATAACCTAAATTTCAAATAAAATCATAAATTGAAACTATATAATACCTGGCAAGGACAAAGGTCGTCCACATAAGGTCAGGTCATGGGAACGAGGTGACACCGACCTCGATGACCTCGGGCGACTTGGAGTATTGTTGTTCTTTGACTCATCACTACGAGGGTTACGACGTGGAGATCTAGATGGCAGGAATTCCTACGAGATGAAAGTATAATTTATTATTAGTTTTATGTAGTAATGTCTTTTATAATATATAAAAACATAAAAACAAAATTGTGGCTGTAAAGAGAAAGGAATTGAAATAAATAAAGTGATAAAAATAAGTTGCTTCTTATAAGTATCAAATAAACATTTAATATATCTGTGTGGATGTTATATATGTATCAAATGCATCTTGAATTATCATATATTTTTTTGCTTCTGGAATTAGGCACAATAAAGCACTTTCAAAGTCCACCACTAAATTAAAAAAAAATATCATTAAATTATTAATTTTAACTGCAACATAAAAAAGCACACACCAAAAGTTAAAGATCTTTATAAACATATAATTGTTTATAGAAAAAAATAATTTTAAATAAAAGAATCTTTTCGTACTTTTTAGCGGATTTCATTTTGATTTTTGCGATTTTTGCAATGGTAGTGCGAAAAGATAGTTTTATTTAAAATATCAAATATTCGCTCTATAAAATATCTAACTATAAAATATAAATAAAACATGCAAAAGCGACAAACACGTTAAAACATCATGTTAGTAACCTTATCTTGTGAAGCGACGGAGTATACGCTATATGACACGGGTGTGTCCGTGAAATCGAAGGCACTGGACGCGCGATACGATACAGTGTCTGTTAGAAGGTTATTAGTTTTATATATCAGACTAAGGAATAATATAAACAATGACAGAACTAAATATGAAGCCAAACAATAATGTTCTAAAATAGTATACAAATGACTATATGGAATATGCGTGTGATTTAAAGGTGATTTTTTTTTATAATCTTTATGACTTTTCAATGAAGCCTATATCAATATTTTTTAATGTAATTTATTTTTGATTAAGAAAATAATTATTAAATAGTGCAAAAACAGGTGGTAAATTCGAAGTAGTTGAAACACAGTAAAACAGTAGTTGAAAACTGACGTCAGAGCATTATCATAACAGTGATTAGCGATTTTGTCGCCTACAAATTGAGTCGTCATTTCTGTGTATATCGTACTGTGACGTCACGCCGCGCGCGCGCGAAATGGCGGGCGTTTCAAGTATCCGTATCGGTATGATATTTAAAAAATATATATACTAAATTGTAGTTTTTTGGAGTTGCATATTTTTTCAATTATAAAACGATGTAAGCACAAATTTAATAATAATTTCATAAAGTTTTCTTTCTACAAAGTCTTGGAAACACTTAATAAAGTGAACCTTCTCTCTAAAGTGTAAATATTCTCAAACACCTTCATCTATTGATCTAATATAAGTAGTTAAATTACACAACAAAAAACAATACAAAAAAATATATTGTATGAAAAAAAAAAATCTCGCATATTCCCTATTTGTATACTGAGTGGTAAGTAAATAAATGTTAATAAATAGAATACCTAAGGGATTGTATTAAAATTTATAATAAAGCAAAAATTTATATTAGCTAATTGTACTATCTCTCTCTCTCTCAAGGGGAAGAGAACTAATGTATTATTATTATAGTATTATTTTTATTCTTCATATTTTATTCTCAAAAATTGCATATTGTTTTAATTAAAAGCATATATAACATTTCCCTTATTCATTAAAGTGTAAATGATTTGTATGGAATACAAAGAATCGATATCGAGAATAGTAGCATAAGTAGCAATTACACTACTATTTTTGACTTTGACGTTTATTATGACCGTCTCCATCTATATAATTATTTAGTCTGAGGTTTTATGTTTATAATAATATATAAAGTATATTAAATAAAGATATATATGAAAGACATAAGGCTTCAAATAAAAAAGTTATGGATGCCTTTACATTAATACTATGTAAAGCATTGTAGGGGGTAATCTCTGGATCTACTGAACCGATTTAGATGAAATTTAGTGAGAAGTTTGAGACCCTGGGAAGGACATAGGATACTTTTTTTATCCCGGAAATAATCCCTTAAGGGGTTGAAAGTGGGGATGAAAATTTATATCGGGAAAAAAGCTAGGGACGAACCCGAGTGAAATGAGAGTGAGTCGCTAGATTTTTATATTTTAGTAAACATGTTATTGTTTTGAAAGTTCATAGGCACATATATACATAAAGAACCAACTTTTTTGATTTTATAGGCTATTTTGCAGAGAATTACACTGCAATATACAATTATTTCCTACTTAGTATGTTTAAAACATTAAAAGTTAATATTGATAAAAAGGATGTAAGTGAGAAAGAAATTAGTAGGAATATTTAAATGAAAATTAATGATGTTATGCATAATTATGCCAAACATGTTATTATTTTTTTTATTCTAGATTATTAGTATTATTAAAAATAATTTTATATAATTTCAAACCATGGGGCCAACAACTTGTAGGTGGGGGAGATCTAATCAAGTGTTCATGAACTTCCTTTAGAGTCATTGGATCATCTTCCACAAAATCCAGGGCAGTGCTACCAAATTCCTGAAAAATACATAATAATTTGCACAACAAGACTAAATCCAAATTACAAATTTAATTATACATAATTTCATAAAGATTTCTTTCTATAAAGTGTTGGAAACAATTTATAAAGTGAATCTTCTCTGTAAAATGTAAATATTCTCAAACACCTTCATGTATTGATCTAATAAAAGTAGTTAATTTAAATACACAACAAAAAAACAACTGATTTATTACCTGTGACATTAGTATAGTATCGTCTGATTCACATTCCTCTGTGTGGCTTTCAATTAAACTCTCTCTACTTGCCATCACTTGCTGTAAATGTTACATCAATAATGTTATTCAATATTACATTAGAATAATACCACTTATATAAGGATTCTTTACCTGTAAATATGGATTGTCTTGTCTAGAAAGTCTTAAGGCTTCCATATCTTGAGCGATATTTCTAGTTCGACCAGGGGTTAACAAGACAGCTGGAGATCCAGTTATATTAGGAGCTAAAACTAAAATTATCAACACGATTAACATTTGTTCCTTTGTGACCGTAGCTGGTAAAGCTCCAAAAGATACTACATACCAGAAAGCGAATCATTGCTTGCCTGCATTTTACAAATAGATCGTCTAGATATGTAATAAATAATATTATTATTCATAAAAACTCCATAAAAATTGATTTCTTTCGCGTTATATTGAATAAGTGGTAGGTGTATTAGACTATATCACTGCTCAAGCACTTTTAACTAGGATAAAACAATTTTATTTTGAAACGTCAGGAGCACGTATGATTTTATTACGTATTTTTATAATTTATATGTAAACATGCAAAAAAATGTGCGAAATTCACTGGTACTACCTGACAAGTGTGTGACAGCTATTATTTTCAAATAATAAATCACTTTAGGCTTGTTGAAAGATATCGATACACGATATATCGATATTTTTGATTCGATAAATCGATATTTTTACCCGATATATTTTGATCCGATACGTCGATATACCATAAAAAATATTCAATATCGAAAATCATATCAAAAACGATATTTTTTTGAAATGTAATTTATCAGTGGAGTACTTAACAAAATTCAAAGCCGTAAAAGATAGAAATGAACGGGAAAAAATTGTTGTTTTGTCTATGACCAGTGTTTTCTTGTGTTGCGTGTATGCGGCGGCCATCATACGTCACTCACTTTCAAATGAAGTAAAAACCGGTTTTCGTTTTTATTAAGATTCTCATGCAATAAAATAGTATACATTTTTTATAAAAAGTACTATTACCTATTATTAAGCCAGACTGAACTAAATACATTATAATTTTAAAACCATAAATCAATATATCGATATTTTTTCCTCGGGATATCGAGGTCGATATTGATATTTTAATAAATGTCGATATATCGATGTTTTTTTTCACTACCGACATCCCTAGATCACTTTACGCTATGGCACGATAAGACAGAGAGGCACGACCATAGAGATAATACACATAGAGTAGGCAACTGCGGCAGTGAGGCGTGGAGAAAAAAAGATAGAAAATGTCTGCCTAGTTTCTATCTTTGTTTCATGACGCATGCGCATTAGTAGCCTTTACATGGCGCATAATTGAAATTAAAAGAAATGCAGGATAAGTAACGAAGAATGAAATTTTTATAAAATAATATCTTAATTTTTGTAATAAATTAAAATCATAGTTTATAAAATCAAATTTTATTTCGTTTTTTATACATTTAATAGAATTTAAATCTTTTATGTATTATCACGCACAATTCTTATTGCCCACTAAAAATGGTAATTTTTTTAAGGTTAGTACTTTCTAATTCTTTAAAAATTATATTAAAAAGAATTAAAAATAAAAGGAGATAGAAAAGGGTTGTTAATGTTTGTCTCTTTATGTCGGGATATCACATTTTTGATCTTCTACCTACCTATTTGCATTATCTCTATGAGCACGCGCACGACACAATATATGCGTATTGCGTAGCATTTGAAATGCTACGCAATACGCTTATTGTGTCGAGATCGTAGAAATGCTGCATTTCTATATATTATATAACTAGCGGCTCACCCTCACATCGCTCGGATTCGCCTCTAGGCAAACAAAAACAAATCTATCCCACGGGAACCGTACCTTTTTCCGGGATAAAAAGTAGCCTATTTGTTTATTTTATTCTGATGTATGAACTATATTATTGTAAAGTTTCGTTAAAATCCAATCAGTAGTTTTTGTGTACTAAGCTGTATAAGTTATTATACTTTTTTAACTATCCTACAGTAACTCTTTAATTTTCCGGAATAAAAAGTAATCAAAATGTTGACCGTGGATATAAGGTACCACCATGCAAAATTTCATTTACATCGGGTCCAACATTCGGAGATTAGCTCGAACAACAGACAGAGAAACAAAAAAATTAAAATAAATTTGATCTATTTCTCTTCTTACATCCCGCTGACTCGGTTTTTAGCCATTTTTTTCATGTACAGACATTCGACCTCTACAGTTTTATTATTGTTATGTATAGATAATTACACTACGGGACTTAACGCGTAAATTCGTAAGTTGCTATATACCTTATTCCCGACGTTTCGACTGCATACAATGTAAGACCACATAGCACATAAGTACACTATAAACCGGTTCTCGTGAAAATATCGCAAATTATTTTCTTTTCATTACAATGCACAAATAACTGAAATACATACCGTTTGTATTACTCGTTTATTTTTAGTCTTAGGAAATATGTATAAGTAGTTATTTTATGTTGAATCTGATAAAAGAAAAATAATGCTAATGACAGTTCTAATTTGTAATTACTTACCAGAAGCGTAATAACTCGAATATACAGAACTGAACGCTTAAACAAACCATTGGTTTTGGAATATCATTTTAGATTGAGATTTATGATTAAAAAGCTACCAAGCCGACCTAAAAATTTCTTATAAATTCCAAATAAATTTTATCACGTTATTTCATTGCAATGTAAAGGACACATTTATATATAGGTTCAAGGAGTTCAAGCTTCAATAATAGACAAAACGGGGTATTGCCCGCCATTTATCTTTTTTTTTTTATATTAACACACATCTCGTTTGTATTTTTTTATTTGTAAGTATTTATTTTATATTGTGGGGATTGAGGAAAGTCATTAAACGGAAAGCTTTAATAAACAAGTGTTTTTATTACCTATATAATGTCCGGCAATTCTCTTTCACATAAATCTAGACGCACTTTCAAATTTTACTTCTATTTAATTCCAAAGGAGGATAATAAATTATTTTTCTATCTATTAATACCTTTAGGAACTATATACGTAATATTTATAATAAATGTAGATCGTATTGATTACTTAAACTCTTTATCATAATATTATCTTTTCGGTCATTATCATATTACATAGATTATTATTAACCGATTGCACACTTTCCGATACTTTTATCCAAATTATGAGTTATTTACGTATTTATTTAGTAATAAATTTACGTAAAAAAATAATTTACAAAAATTTAAAAATTTGACTGCGTAAAAAACAATCTAAAAAGATGAGAACAAGTTGACGAAGGAATATAGTAGTAGGTAAGGTAAGCAGTCCGAGACATACACACACGCGGTCTAAGTCATGTACCTTATACACATTATATATGTATGTATGTCGCCAACTGCATATTCTTTTGTCAACTTATTCTCATCATTTTAGTTTGCTTTTTACAGTCGGGTTTTTTAAATATATATTTTTTTTTATATACAGCTTTTTAGTTTTGGTCAGTTAGACATTTTTAAGTTTATATAATAATTTTTTAGCCTAAATTACTTTTAAACGTATAGATTGCATATATTTTTGTAATTGCCTTTTAAAGACCTGTCTTTTGATATCCCACTGTATTGATTCGGAAGAAATTTTTTTTTTCGAGACAATTTAGCACCTTGATACGCCATGTTGATTTTTAATATTCATGTACCATATGACACAGGCGTTATCAAAACGAATCGAATAACGTATGAATCAATAAAATCGTTTAAGCCCTTTAGTAATTACGAGGGAACATAGAGTCGGACATACATATGTAGGTATATATAGATCAAAAACATAACCCTCTTTTATGCTTTGCCGCAGTCGGGTAATAAGTGTGTGTATAATATGAGCAAAGTATAGCTTATTTAACGAATCATTAAAATCAGTTTACAATATTAAAAGCAATATCTTGATAGTATAAAAATACAGAACTCTAAATAAATGAATGAAAATGTATTAAAATCTTTCCCTTTTTAGGAGACTAAAAGAAACTAAGAAAGCATTTATATTTTTACAAAATTTTGGTTCACTTCTAAAATGATGCATTCACAAATACACCAAAAATTGTAAAAATCTCATACAGACTAAACCTACAAAAACATATAAGCACTAGGGACTTCGCTCGGGTTCGTCCCTAGTTACGTTTTAACGTTTAGTTACTAGTAGTGTTATATGATCTGGTTTAGTATAGATTTCTCAGAGATGAGATATTTTCCCGCAGTAAAGAGTGTCCTATATGTTGACCCGAATAACCAGCTATCATCATACCAAATTTCATCAAAATCTGTCCAGTGGTTTTATCGTGATGCGTTTTCAGACAGACATACAGAGAAAAGTTCTAAAAACTAGATTCAAGCTCTTTATGATAAATAATGGCTAGATCATAAGACTTTCCAAAAAATATTTAATGTACAGATTTGACTCAGAATTTTATTTATTTATAGATATTATTTAAAGAAGTCACTAAGTATTAATATAAAATATGAGTAAAATAAAACCACGAAATAGAATATAATATATGAATTTATTTAATCTGAACAAAGGCACTACCTTATCTAAGAAGGCCCCTTTCCACTGAAACTGTAATGCGACAACAATATTGTAAATTCTAGTTTCTACTTTAACAGATTTCAAGCAAACATATGTATTTACATTAGAATTTATGTCAAATATATTATAACAATCGCAAATAGTATCCATTTTGAGAACATTTAAAAATTATTTCGTTTACAGATCGTTGTCAGTTAGTACGTATTGGACTACGCTGCCGTAGTCCAGGATTCGATTCTTAATTTCCTTAAGTTTAGAGATATAATGTTTGTGGATTTTAGTATTTGTTCTTGTATAGCGGAGAGCTGTTATCATTTTATCCACAGTGTAATGCAGCCAAAGAATATTTGTGTACGGCTCGAAATTCTTCCAATCATTACTGCAACAACAAAAAAATAGTTAGACATTTTATACCAAAAATTAACATTCATAGAACAATATAATTTAAAAAAAACTGGGTGCTTGTAACCTTTACGCGCGGTTGAAGTAAAACTTCTTTGGCAAATATCGCAATTAAATTAAAACAAATCAACAATTAAATAAGGCATATTAGGCATTTAACAATCATATATTTATAGAATATCATATATGGAAAGTATATAATATTATATATTTGTCAGACAATAACAACGGTTACCATGGCCAGCTTAATCCTATATATTCATGTGTTTGTCTCGTTCTAGTGTCGCATAACCATTTCATAAAGTTTCTAATCACAGCGATTCTAAAGAAGTTTCTCTTCAAAATAAGAAAGTCATAAACCAGCCCCAGCTCGTCTCTCACCTCGCGTCTCGCGTGACCTTACGATTACTATAAGCTACAGCTTATACATAATAGTAACACTTGCCAAACAAAAATAGAAAGAGAAAATGTCGTAACCAAACCCAGCTTGTCTCTCAACTCGAGACTCTCAAGACTTAAAGAATACTATAAGCTGTATATGGTGACACTTTTGCCCAAAAAAAAAAGAAAAAAAAACGCATGTACAAACCCCAGCTTGTCCCTCATGAGCCGATACACCTGGAACTGGTAATCGCCAACAGCGTCGAACAACCCGTCGTCCGCTGCTAGGTCGTTGTACAGCGCCGCGCCCGGCGGCAGCGACACGCGCGACAGCGAGTAGTCGATGACGGTCGCGGCGACCCCGCGCCGTGCGACGCGGTGAGCGCGCCCGCGCAGCACGAACGTCGCGTACTGGAACACCACAGTAATACAGGGTTAATTAGGGACAGACGATTATGTCTTATGTCTGATCATTTAAGGGTTAATAGCTTTACTAAGAGTAATATTGTGAGATTTGTCTTAATATTACTAAGGTTGATTCCCCATACAAACTTTCATCCCCATTTTTACCCAATTAATGGATGATTTCCAGAATAAAAAATATCCTATGTCCTTAACAATAACTAAACTATCTATCTTCTTAACAAGTTTCATCTAAATCGGTCCAATAGTTTATGAGTTTATTCGTTACAAACATACAAAAATACAAATCTTTCCTCTTTATAATAGTAAAAGTGTTGATACAGAGATGAGAGAGCTCACTCTTGAATGCATTTAAAAAAAATGTTTTATTATATTTAAAATATGTGATGAAGATAAAACGGGTGTTTTTTTCATGACATAATATTTTATTTATTTATTAGTATTCAGAAAAAGCAGTGACAAGCAAGTGGTAACGCGCTCGCTTGGGAAACCGAGTGAAGCGGGTTCAAATCCCGGGTCTCGCAACACTGATATTTTCATGTGCAAATCGTTTCCAACATGATTACCACATGTGTTATTGTGAAGGAAAATATCACAACGGAAACTAAATGTCTGACAGAACCTAGCAAGTTTTCAAAAGACATGCTCAGTCCACCCGCACTTGGCCAGCGTGTGTAGTGTATTGATGGGAGGCTTACGCCCAGCAGTGTGCGTTAAACAGGACTTCAGTAATTAATATATTCATAAAACTATTACATTTTATTTATATAACTTTGTATTACCTTTTGATCAGTGGGCGCTATGAGTACGTTTCCCCAATGAAGGTCACGGTGCTCAAACTGAAATGCCTCCTCTGCGACCGCTAAGCCAAAAGCAACCTGCGACATTACGGAAAACATCAATACAAAATTATTTTAAAATATATATAAAATCATAATACGTTCTTAGATTTACGCGAATATTTGACATTTTAAATGAAACTCGCTCGAAACTCTTTACAGCGAACATGGTGACGGGAGCGTCACCATGTTTGCTGTAAATCATTCGAATTATCGGAAACCAAAATATAAAAAACCAAGACAAAATCCGAAAAGATATTTTCATTTAAAAAACATAAAATCAATCAAAACTATAAAATCTGAAAATGAACGCTAAATCAGTTAAACTTGTCGTATTTGCATTATATTTTATTTTCATATTTACAGTTGGCTCAACAAATATAAGGATAAAAATAAATTTTGCTATAAAAACACATGAAAACGCTTAGATCATTTAAAAATAATAAAATATGTTACTATACCGTATCATGGCATATTTTCTTAGTGACACAAGTTGGTAAAAATTTAATATATCCCCAAATTTTGTTTCTTTAACTAAAAACATTTAAACACTCAAACAAATTCCTATTCATATACGACATAAAAAAGGAAAAAAAAACAACCATGCGTGGCTTTATGTTTAATAGCCATAATCAATAAATTATGGTATAAATAAAAAAAAAACGACAAAAAAGCAGGCTAGACAACCACAGAGGATAAGTGAAAATCTAGTCAAGATAATATGGATACTTGATACTAGAAATTCACCTACCTTCCGAAGCCATCATACATGCAGGATACACACACACTGAAAAAAAAGTTATATAAAATAAAAAGAAAAACAATAAAACCAGTGTTAAAGCAAAATACGAAAAAAAATTATTTAAATTAACTAAATTAACTTCATAAGCATTGCTATCCTTTTTTCACTACTTTCAGCTTTTTAATATGTATAAAACATATTAAAAAAAAATGTTCTTGAAGTCAATTATAAAGAAAACAATTAAAAAAATCAAATTCAAAGTAATAACAACACAAAAAAATAGCAACCAAAACTATCAACACTCAATAAAAAAAAACAAAAAAAACGAGTGTGTACTTATATACGTATGTAAGAAGTTATACTTCTTTGGCTTAATAGAACAAAAATAGCTAAAGATTTCATCCCGGATGTCACAACTTTCTGTTTGTAATAGGAATGCAGCTAACTTCATCATGTCGCTCTTTGGCTGTCGGTGTGCGCGCGCATCGTAAAAATTTTACTCTCATACTTTTTTCAAAACTTGCCAAAAGAAGTATAACTCAAAAACCCACTCAATCCGACCAACCTGCTTGAACAGAGCGTACGCCTGTTCAGCATTAGTGAACTGATAGCTCTCCAGGTCCTGGCCGGCGTTGGCCAGCTCCAGCACCAGGAACTGCTGGTCAGCGGGCAGCACCGCCGGATTGTCGTTCTCCGAACCCTTCGTCTCGTCGTACAGCTCCCACAGGTCCAGGAGACGGGATGGATAGCTACCTTGCACACAGCGCACTGCTAGAACCTGAAATTAATATCAATTGAATTTAATTAATTAATATAAATATACTAAGAACAGAACCCGCGGCTACGCCAGAGTTCAATCTACAAAAATAGGACAATAATCTATCTATATAGAGACTGTACTGAAATGCTGCTGTGCCTGTGCACAGGCTACGGTTTTATCCCAGAAAAATGTACCGTTCCCATGGGATAGATTTGTTTTTATTTTTCTCTAGAGTCGAACCCAAGTGAACCGAGGGTAAGTCACTAGTAATAACATAATTTTAACTGAGGGATATTTACACAACTTGAATAGATCATCCATTTCTTATTAGTTAACAAATAGATTTGTCAAAACAATAATATCTTGTATCAAATGTCCATTTAAAACAGTCACCATATTTCAATACAAAACAAATAGACGAAAAAATAATGAAAACAAATTCTATGTATTTATGTATTGGTTAATGATTCATACTTGTTCTATGAGAAAATTCATGAGAATAATGAGTCACATTCCATCACACTGGAATTCCAATTAACGTTATCAAACTAGTTTGCAGCATTGTCAGAAATATTAGTATTAATTAAATACAAAAATATTAATCTTCTATACATATAATAAAATTCTAACCGAGTCGAATCTGTACATTAAATATTTTTTGGAAAATCTTATTGAACTAATCGTTATTATCGATACATAGGCCGAATCTATAGTTTTTAGAATTTTCGCTTATCTGTCTGTCTGGGAACGCATCACGAGAAAACCACAAGACAGATTTTGATGAAATTTGGTATGATGTTAACTGGTTATCCGGTTCAACTTGTAGCATACTTTTTACTGTGGGAAAATATTTCATTTCTGAGAAATCTATACTAAACTTCAAAACGTATCTACATAATTATATCAATGTATACAAATATATAAATAAACGTTTTGTTTTTACTATTATAACGTTTTGACAAAACATATTATAATAGTAAATAGGTCCCGCTATTACGACTAGAAAAAAACGCACTATTATATAGTGGTTAGTCAGCTGTACTTGCACACAATTTATTTTTAAAGTCCAAATAAATTTGAAAACACAAAAAAAAAAGAAATCTTTGACTCTGACACACCAGTCACGTTTATACACGGTTTACTTAATATAATACTTTTTTGCAATTTCATTTATCTCTTAGCCGAAGCATCATTATTACTAGAGTAAAAATTTTCAGAAGTACATGACCAGTTCTAGAATATACTTTTTAACTCTCAAATCAAATCAATCAATCAAAGTACTTTATTCAAATAGACTTTTACAAGTACTTCTAAATCGTCAATTTCAGATTTTAAATTTAAATTGAATATCAGTATGTATGTCCATGAGGAATGTACCACCGGCTACAATACAACTAACGTTACCTCTTTATTATATTAGAATAAGCAATACTATGCAGGGACAGAGATTATAAAAAGCTCAAAAAATGTACTAATTTTGATTAGATTTTAGTAGATAAATATTCAATCCATCTTGCAATAAAATTGTGTGTTATCACTATATGTATATACTTCCTCATGATTAAATGCGACTTATTTTTACTTCCATGTCATTGATAAAGAAATATTTACATGATATATATTTCATAGATAACAAAGGAGAAATCCTTGGCATTGCTTTCATATTTCCACAACCTTGCACTATAATCACGTTGATAAATTAAAAAAAAAAATTGATGCGTGTAACCTTCACGCGCGGTTGAAGTACAACTTATTTGGAAATATCAAATATAATTAAATAAGGCATATTAGGCATAGACAATCATATATTTATAGAATATGATATATGGAAAGAATATAATATTAATTATTATATATTTGTCAGACAACAACGGTTGCAATTTCAACATGGCAATGTATTCTATCTCATTCTCTTGCCGGCTTAATCCTATTTATTTATGTGTTTGTCTCTTTCTAGTGTCGCAATTCCATTTCATCGAGTTTAAAATCCCAACTATTCAAAGAAGTTTCACTTCAAAAAGCAAGTGTTTTAGCAATGATTATCTAAATTGATGCAATTTGAATTCATATAGTTCAGCGGTTCCCGATTTTTTTTTGGCCACGGAATCCTAATTGATCATATTTTTTTCACAGATCCCCTATTTGATAATAACTAAACTGATTGTGCTGTTGTTAGAATATTTTCTTGTATGACTTGAAAGAACAAATCATAAATTAAAAATATTAATACCTAGAGTAATATTTATTTTAACAAATATATAACCTATTTAATGTCATGAATTTAATTTTTCCACATATTTATTTATTATAACAATAAAATTAGAGGCTTCATGTCTGACAACGTTTTATTTAACTCTCAGATGGAATTTGGAATCCCCGTGACCCATTTACGGAACCCTATGGTTCCAAGGACTACCATTTGAGAACCGCTGGTATAGATAGTACTGGCGTGACCTATATTTGTAATCAAACAAGTACTATACTATCAGAAGATAATATGAATGAATGATTCATAGAATAATTTATTGTCTACCGATTGCATACATAAATAATTAGCTATTTATGTGATAATAAACATTCTTTATAATCTTTATTTCATAAAGAAAACTAATAAGCTTAAGAACACATATTTTTTGTATTTTTTTTTAACTTAACACAAAATTACAAAATTATATATTTTATGTTTTTAACAATTTTTAAAACATGATGGATGGACATTTTAGAATTTTATGAAAATATGCCTCTACTGAAACTTAAATTGATTGAAAATATCGAAGTCACACTATATGTCCCCATAATATAGCACAACACACATACACAATATATTTTTTTTATAATTTTTTATATATACATTTCTATTTAGTATATTAAGATCTTAATAAATATATAGATAATATATGTATATCATTAAGTATTCATATAAAAGCTAAAATATACAAACCTCATTGAAGATATCAGTAGCATTCATTACAGAATGTAAATCCAAAACTTCAACACCCTTGCCCTCATCAAAACGTTGTTCTATCTCTGCTATAGGAGCGCGTAGTGCACTCAATTCCCTATAGAAAAAAAAAGATAATTAAAACAAATTAAACAAAAAGTGTGTGTGTGTGTGTGTGTGTGTGTGCAATTCACACACAGAAGTGAAATTTTAGAAAAGTAACCTATGAGAGAATGAGATGAATACAGAGTTAAACAAGCTATTTTACGTTTTATTTGAGATAAATATACCTACATTTGTCAGACAAGAACAACTGTTACCATGGCAACATGGCAATGTATTCCATCTCATTCTCTCGCCGGCTTAATCCTATATATGTGTTTGTCTCTTTTCAGTGTCGCATTTCCGTTTTATCAAGGTTCAAATCACAACGAAGAATCACTAAAGAAGTTTCACTTTAAAACAACGTGAAGAGGAACAAAACTGACAAAAAATATTAAATGTTAAATGGAATTTTAACTAGCAAAGATAAGGAATTAATGATCAAAAGTAAACTTTGGGTACACTCCTTATTATAAAAAAAACTCCAATGTTATTGATCATTGCAATTATGTAGATATTATAACATTGTTGCGAAAACAATATTATATTATGAACAATAAGAATAATATTTCATCTAAATATTGCCCTCACTTTGTATAAGATCTATCTGTACATAATCATATTTTTTTAAATCTTATTGAAATAGTCGTTATTATCCATACAGAGGCCGAATTTTTCGTTTTTAGAATTCTTGTGTCTGGGAATGCATAAAGAGAAAACCACTGGAAAGATTTTCATGAAATTTCGTGTATTGATAGCTGGTGATCCGGGTCAACATATTGGATATTTTTTATTGGAAGATATCTCATCTCTGAGAAATCTATAATAACCGTTAATAATATTTTCATAGTATCATCACAGAAACTCACTCATGGACAAATTCTATGAGACAAACTATCTAAAATGTACCTTATTTATTATAAATACCCATTTCCAAGTTCTTTAAACTTTAAAGTATCAAAAGTACCTATCATGAGTATGTACATAGCAACTACTAAGTACATAATATAACATTCTAACTTTACAATATGATAAAAAAATATTACAATTTCGTCATTGATATAAAGGGAACACCATTTCTTTAAAACAATACCAATTGTGAAATATTTAACAATCTTATTTAATTACACTACGAAGAGACAAAGCAACCAAACCATCTATCAACAACACAGATAAATATTTGTATGAAAGATCAGAAACCTTAGGGTTAATGAATTCTACATTGTGATTGTAAATAGCTTGCTCTAAATAAATTGTAGTTTTCGTTGCCAAATGTATGTTTATTTTGATAGACTACTAGCAGAAACCGCGGCTTCGCTCGCGCTAGAAGTACAAAAAAAACTCTAAAAAGGTAGATTTCATACAAAGTTTCATCCCCTATTTTACCCTCTTATGGGATCAATTCCGAAATACCCTAAAACACGTATTTATTTAATTTTATTGAAGAGTATTAATACTAAGTTTCAAGTAATTCTGATCACAAATATTTTTTTGGGTTTTATTATAAAATGTTTTTCCATGGGAATGAGATAATTTCGTGCAGTAAAAAACAGCCTATGTCACTCTCCAGCCCTCCAACTATCTCCACATAAAAAATCACGCCAACCCGTCCACTCTGTTCCGACGTGAAATAAGAACAGACAAACAAACACACTCACATTTATAACATTAATTACCTACGGATATCTCTTACCCTAAATGCTGAATGAAACTGTATAAAATAAAATAAAATTGACCTGTGATCTTTAAGTTTCTATAGAGATTATTGTTTATTGTAGTACAAGTAAAAACCTCAGTTAGTAACACGCTATCTTTGCAAATTAAAAACATTAATCACCAAAATAAATATTAACAGTCTAATGAGGATGTTATATTAGTTAAAATAAATAAAACAGAATAAATCATAGCTAAATGGAAGGAACCATATATCATATGTACCCAAATATCATTTAAACAATTATTTTATACAATATATGAAAATGATTTATGCCATAAGTATTAAAACCCAAGTCCGCAAGGCTCAGAAAAAGGCAAAAAAAGATAGCTAATATAAAACTCTAGTATGTACAAACAAATATGTTTTTGTTTTTCTAGTTTATTAGATCTAAAACCAAGTAAACAGCTTCATAAATAAACATACATAAAAAAATTGAATTTATTACAGGCATAAATATGAATAATGATACAAAATTATCATGAAATAAATATATTAGAAATTAAAATATTACCAAAAGTTACATTTAAAATCTTACCATTAAATATCATATCCTACTAATATTATAAATGTGAAAGTTTGAGGATGGATATTTGTTACTCAATCAAGCTAGAACGACTGAACAGATCTGGATGAAATTTGGCATTATAGTTTGAGCAGATCTTTCTCTGTGCAAAGCAACACTTGGGTTACTTTTTGTCCTGAAAATAAGTTCCCATGGAATAGATTTGTTTTTTGTAACTCAAAGCAAAGAGATGGTGAGTCGCTAGTTTATTATATAAAAAGAAACTTACATAGCAATCACAATCTCAGATATAATTTCATGATAGTCCTTCTGATCTTCGCCATTCACTTTGATATTACCAGCTATGGGCACTATCTTCAGTACACGAGCCCTGCCGTCGCGAGCGCGCCAGAGATAAACCTCTCCATATACACCCTCGCCGATCTTCCGGCAATTTTTCAGGACTCTGAAATTAAACAATGAAATTTTTACATATAATCTAAAATTTAACTTGCTTTAAATTGTACAATAATTTTATTTATTATACACTAGCATCGCTCGGTTTCGTCCCTAGGTTGATTCCCCATACAAAGTTTTATCCCCATTTTCACCCCCTTAAGGGATGATTTTCGGGATAAAAAGTATTCTATGTTCTTCCCACGGTCTCAACCTATCTTTTAACCAAATTTCATCTAAATCAGTTCAGTAGTTTCAGTGCCTATTCGGTACAAACAAAGAAACAAAAAAAGTAAATCTTTATAATACATATTTGTATAGATTAATTCTGCTTCTATTATATCCTAAACAAAAGTGTTAAATGGAAACAAATTATTAATTTTTGGTACTTTTTCATGTTATTTTGATTCAAGAATAGAAAAAATGATTCCAAAAGTATAATTTACTAGTTTATGCCTGTGATTCTACTTGACGAGTCAATTTATCAATTAAGTGTATGTAAAAGTATGTGTTGATCCAAAAAAGGAGCTTTCATTCTGTAATTCACTAAATCTGTTGTGCAATTACAGATTGAAGAAATTATTCTTTCTATTATCATTACTTCTTGTTCACTGAATACGAGACTCGTAAGTCACAAGCATAGACATGGACAGTAGCTAGTATAAAAATAAAATTAAAGTTGTTTGTGATGTAATACATTTTTGATTTCGTATTAAAATTGCTTCTTTGTATTTTATTTTTTGTCAAAAAAGCAATGAGGTTAATAATTTACCCAAATTATATAAGCTTATGTAACCCAGTAATTACTCAATTAGGTAACCATTCCATTCAAGACAAAAAATTTATTAATCTAGTTTTAAAAATGTTTGTTTGTATCAAGATTTTTACCTAGACTAAAATACATTTTATTTATAATTAAATATGTTTGGATAACCTTATTATATTGTAGGCCAAGGAAGTGAATAAAAAAAAATAGATATAAGTACTAAAAAAGTTAATTATTTGATATTTACCAATTGAGGGTATATGATCATGTTATAAATTCACAAATGAGCAATTGTATTAAAAATTTTATTTTACTAACCTTATATAAAAAACTAGAGTATACTCAAAATATTTAATTAAGCTAACATTAATTTATCATATTGTGTTAAAATAAATAGTTTTTTTCTTTTTTTAAAGTAAACGAACAGACATCCTTCATTTAACATTGTTCAGAAAATAACATGTGTTTGTTATGAAGCCACCATCTTGCTTTTAGCTTGACCCAGTAAAATGATATAAACAATTTTATGAATAATACAAGTCTGTTGTAGTACAAAATACGATTGTAATATAATTAAATTAACAGATGCGTGTACTTACGTATCTGGATAGCATTCATCAAACAGTATCACGTCTGTTTGATTGCAACGTCGCAAGACGTAATCACGCGCGGTCGCAATACGATTCGACGTTTCATGAAAATTTTCTAAAACAGTGACCTCGTGTTCCGAATCAGCAATCGAGAGTTTTGATAACTCAACAATCGTATCATCACAGTCCTCGGTCAAAAATCCTGAAAATACAACACATTGTTAGAGATCGTAATGACATGTAGGTACTAGGAAGTGAATGACGAACTTTCCCCATGAGTAATCGCGTTACGTAGAATCGGAGAAAACACGCAAGTCAAATAATAATATGCCCCAAATTATATTTTGTATTATTTAACTCACCTCTGTATTGCAGCGAAAGATGCATGCACTCTGCTTTAGAAACTTTTGTTGAACAAAGGCTCAGAACCAAGCTATTATCCCGTTAGGGATAAAGAATGGCAGTCAAAATGTCCGAATCAATCACAAAGATTTACACAATAAAAATTGTCCTACTATTGCTTATCAATAGTAGCAGTTAAAATCACTACTTATTGTAAATTATCGAGCGATAACTTGTTATTAATAAAAAAATAAAAATCACAATGGCAGCGACACTATTACAGCGTCCGCTTCCGTGAATGAATGACACACAGATGATAAAATTAAAGAGAACAGCCAACTTTTACAAGCAACGATATTCGGTGTTGCCAATTACCATTCATAAAATGTACCGAAATATACATATTATTAAGTTGTACTAGTAATATTCATTATAATAAATTACACTAATTTAATGCAAATAATTAATATTAGTTAGTATAACATAATAATTATTTCATTCATTGACAATTTTAAAGATAAGCGAATGAAACATAACTTCTTAGAATTTAGAAGAATAAATGTTTACCTTGTAAATCTTCAGATATTGTTGTGGAACATAAGCTAACTCTGGAAGCATTGGATTCCTATAAATAAAAAATCATTTTAATAAAACACTATTTAAAAAAATACTAATAAAGTATCAGGCTTGCTTACTCTTACAATCCTAATAGTAGATCTGCTAGGTTTAGAGACAAAGGTACTTCTGCGGCTTTTAATTGATTCATTGTGTAGTAAACCTGTAGAAAATTTTTATTAATATATTAGATTATAATATTAAATGCTTTTTTATTATAAACCAATTTTAATAAAAAAGCAAAAATATAAACCTGACATTACACTGAAACTTTGATAGATGGTGTCAATTTTTTATTTTCATGGTTTAAATAAAAATTTAAAAAAGTTTGTAATGTATAAAATATAATTTTGTATAAAAGTAACCTTTTGTATCTTGCATTTCCATGGTGCTGATCACACTTTGCCTATACTTTCTTCCTTTAATATTCAAAGGTTCAGAATCCAAAATTGAAAGATCAAAATGGTCAGCCATTGTGGTCATTCTCCTATATATGCTCAATGATCTTTCCCATCTTTTTCCAGGTTGAAGAACTATTCCATTTACTTCACAAGTAGACATTTTAAAATTACCCATAGCACAAGAATTTTCAGTGATTTCATTATCATTATCAGTTTTAATAAACAAGGTTTCATTGTTATTTACAGGTAAATTAGACTGAGCACTTTCTCTATTTAGCCTGCAACTCCTTCTTGTCATAATAACTTTATTTTCTACACTACTTGACAAGCTTGCAATGGCAGATTTTCTATTACTTTCCATGGGTGATGTTGACAATTTCTTAGGTTTTAATGATGGCCTTGTAACATTGCTGTATCTATTTGATTTGCAGTTATTTGTTGGCTTTGAAATAGATAAATTTGTTTCAGTAATATCACAGTTAGTCTCTTGCACAAGTGCTTTAGTTTTATGAGGACTCATGTTTGTATGATGTGCATTATTTTCTAATGGTGCATCTATTTCAGTATCAGTTAGCATGTTTAGTTGTGACTGCCTATTAATACTTGCTCGACATGTCACAACAGTTTTATCAAAATCTGTACTACTTCCACTTGTAATGGAGCTGTCTAGATGTAACAGGAAAGAATCATTTGTCACACCATTTCTGCGTCTGGTTGTCACAAAACTAACACATGTATCTTCTTCAGGTTTATCAGGTTCAGAATTATTGTCACTGTCCATATTTTCAATGTTTTCCTCAGATTCTTCTTCTCCATCACTTTGTGAATAATCATGCTCTTCGTCAGTTACACTAGATAATTTGTTAGATGAACTAGATTCACTTTCATTAATACTAGCATAATCATCATTGTTGGAAAAATCTAAAAGTGACCCATTATTTTCACAACATTCTGCCATTTTGTTATAGTATCTTTGAAAAACAGAGTCATTAAGTCGATCAACAACTACAATAGGCTCTTGCTTCTTTGAATTTTCACTATTTTCTTCGTATTCATCATCACATGTGTCATAATCAGATTCATTATCATCAAGACTAGTTGTACTATTTTCTACTGTATTTAAATTCATTGAATTTTCATTTTCTATATAATTAATGTCTACATCTTTATTGACATCCGTACTATAATTTAAATTTAAATTCATAGAAACTACATCAGGTTCTTTATTTATAAGAACATTATTTTCTATTTCTTTATATTTATCTAATAAAGCCTCACTAACTTGTGGGACACTCGAAAATCCTAAAAATGGTTCCAACTCTGTTGTTTGTAATGATGATATTTCTATTGGTTCTGTATTTTCAGTAAATACATTATGTTTAGAAATTAAAGCTTTTTTGAATATTGTCATATTTGTTTTGTTTTGTAGTATTGGTGAACTTACTTCATTATGCACACTATGGTTAGTATTATTTTTATCTAAAGATAAATTAATCTGGTTCTCTACATATGAATTTTCTTCAAACATCCTATGAACTTCAAGACACTCATTTACTTCAGGTACAGTTAGAACTTTTGGACTATCATTTAAATTAATTGTAATAGGTGAAAAATTATATATGGATTTGCCTCTATATTTTTCATGAAAAGGAGTGCTACATAAAGGTGAACCTTGTATTCCTTCAATAGAGTGGATATTCTTTATGGCTTGAGAATATCTTGGAGTTTTATTAACCTTACTTTCATTAAATAGAGCTATATTTTTAACTATATTGTCAATTGATTCATCAATATACTTTGGATTACTTTTATTTTCCTTTTCTATTTCCAACTTATGACTTAGTATATCAGAAACATTCTCAGTGTCATTGATCATTTCATTAGAATTTTCTTTATCAGAATCTGCAAATAAATATCATAACTATGAGATATTTTGAATAGAAATAATAAAAAAAAATCACCATTTGTAATACAAACCTATACTATCACTGCTGGAATCATTCATTTTTTTCCTGCTAACCTTTCTTTTGCAATATGTCTTGCTTTCCCTTTAAATATTAATAAAATTAAATAATAATATAAAGTAGACAGCAGAAAGTAATTGATGTAATATTACAAATGACAAAGAATTAGTTTCTTAATAGATTTAAAACTTTGAACTTTAATTTTATTAAACTACCTAATATCTTTATTACTTTAGAAACTTCTTATTAAAACTTACGGTGGTTTATAGAACTTGATAAATTTATTAACTGTTTGATTCGAATCATTCTCTATCGGAGAAGACATAAGAAGCTGGTCAAATAAATCTGCCGGTTTATTAACACGAAGAGATTTATCTGGAGTTAAATACGTTGATGTTGAAGAGGTATCTTTAATGATATTTTCTTGTTCTTTTAATCTCTTTACATACTTCCTTTTGCGAACTTTATTTGATGCAGCAAATAGCATTGATGTACCGACGGACATATCTCGTTTAGTTTGTTTAATATTTTGTATGTAAAATGCGTCAAACATGGAACTTTTAGAATCCATTGTAAGTAAAACATCTCGCGGATCTAATCCACCACCAGTTTCTTTTTTAGATTTATAAGTTCTTCTCATTTTAAGTTCTCATAACAAAAGTAAAATAAATCTTCCACTTTTAAAAACAAACGTTTACCAATCGTGAACATAGATTAAAAATCTCCTCACATAGATTAAAAATATGTTTCTTATTTACGTCAGATTTATTGTCTTTTCAACAGATAACGTAAAACGTTTAAATTAAATAAAATAAAGCTAGCTTCTCAAAAACCTTTTATGCCAAATGTAAGTAATTTATTTACCTGATCTTTTCTTAATCTCGATGTTGAAAATCATAATTATTATGATAATGTTCCAAATCTTGCTAATATTATAAACGCGAAAGTTTGTGAGGATGAATGTTTCTTAAACATTGACGCAAAAACTATTAAACGGGTTTTGATGAAACTTTAAACATGACTTTCCAAAACTTGTAAGATTTTTTCAGGCATGCGGGTTTCCTCACGATGTTTTCACATACACAAAAGGCTTAGGTAATAATAAAAATCTATTTTCCGTACACTTAGATCTATATTAAAATTACAATAATTCCTGTACTGGCAGATACATAGCAGCTTATTCTACTATACACATATAATTTGTTATAATTATGTCAAAGATAAAGATCATGAATCTTTGGCATAATAATTATTGTTTAAACACTATCCCAATGATCTTCATTCCAAAATGTACAATTTTGTAACATGAATGTATATACAGGAATGAAAAAGAAATATTATATGGCTTAAAAAGAAAAATATGCATACCTAATATTTATATAAAATAAATATTTGTATGAGTTTTTAAAAAATTCTTCACATTACATTATTTATATGTCTATAATCACTTTCTTTAATATTTCTCATTTATTATACTTTCAAGTATTAAATTCGATTGTTCTTTTCAAAAGTGGCATAAAATATTTTAGATTATTATAAATGAACTTTCATTTTAAATATGTAATTATATTATAGTCTATAGAGTAGAAAACAAACAATCAAATATAAGTAAAATAACTTTTCCAAATAAATTGGCACATTGTACCATGTACATTATAACTGATTGTGTTAAAATTCAACTAGAAAATTGAACTAAGTAATAGCAAATTAAAATATTATTGCTGCAACCTGCTGTATATAAACTCTATAAGAAATCTTAAAAATAAATAACAAATATAATAAAAATACCCATTCGGTTTTGAATCAAGAAATAATAACATACAGATTATAAAATGGTTTTATAAAATCTTTCATTCAAATTAATCTAAAATTCAAAACCAGTACAAAGGAATGACCATAACATTTTTTAAATTTAGAATAGAAAAATAACATATTTATGGTATAACAAATAACATATCAGAGCAATCTAATTTCTGATATAATAACCAAAAAAAAACAAAGCAAAAGTATTTATCACTTTGAAAATGTAATTTTTATATCCAATCGAATAAATTAAATGGGTCATGGAATAGTATAATAAAAATATTAAGACCCTACATTCAATTTTCACATTTTTAGTCTTTGGCTATTTGTAATAATTACAAAGTAAGTACAGATATGTAAGAAATATTACAATTAAATAGATAAAAAATCAACAGGCTGTTTAGTTAAAAATGTTATTATTGCACATTGACTCAATGAAACATTAAAAAATAATTTCTAGACAATAAAAGATTTAAATCACATAATTGCCAACAAACATTTAAAGATTATTATCAAGTCAAGCATAATATGTATTTTTATAATAGTCTTAATTCAGTTTATCTTATAGCTAATGGTCAATGAGTTTGTGCAGACAGAAATATCACATTAATTTAAAATTCGGCAATATACCATAATCACATTTAGGAGAACACATCAATAGGGTGGGGTGAGACAGTCGCAAGATTATGGGTAGGACTTGCTAAAGGATCTACATGAGTTTCCATTTGTCTTGCTTCTATAGTCGCTTGTTTCACAGCCTCTTTATATGGACCCCTTTTCTTTTTGTTGAATCTTATCTGTGGTGTAAAAAATATTTTTGCTATATTATTTGTTTATTTTCTAACTCGAAAAACACAAACAGATCTATCTCAAGAGAACTGTTCATTTTTCCAGGTTAAAAAGTAACCTGTTGTTTGGCCGGCAATATAGTAGTAAGGTATCAGCATGCCAAATTTTACTAAATTAGGTGCATAAATTTTTGTGTACTAAGCTGTATAAGTTACTATAGTTTTTTAACAATCCCATGGGAACTCTTTAATTTTCTGGGATAAAAAGAATCTAAAACATTGTCCGGGGATATAAGATACCACCATGCAAAATTTCATTGAAATCAGTCCAACAGTTTCGGAGATTAGCCCATACAAACAGACAAAGAAACAAAAAAATTGATAAAAATCTGGATTTGTTCTATTTCTTTTCTTACATCACCCTGTTTTTAACATTTTTTTTTAAGTACAGACATTCAACCTATACAGTTTTATTATATGTATAGATATAATAATGAAGAACACATTAAAAAATGTTTTAATTTAAAAATATATCTATGACATATTAGACATCATAAATCATAATATTTTAATTATAAACTCAAATTATTAAGATAACAATACAGATTTAACCTTATATCTACTTGTTATAAGAGTCCCTTCAAACCATCCCAATTTTTCCTTGTGAAAGCACATATACACATTGCCTTCTCCTCTAATGTACTTTGGAATTATAATTTGTTGTAAGTACCAAAGGTAATTTGATCGACATAGTTGTTGAATATGTCAAGGTCACAAACTTCTGTCACACTTTCAAGCAAATTATTTGTCATGCACTTTATGAATAATGATATTAAAATTAAAGGAGAAATAGTTAATTTTTGTTAAAAATCTTTTGAGTTACATATGACTCAAGGTCACTTCAAGCTTATAAGTGAACGGTTGCTATTAAAAAATACCAGTTGAAAAAAATAATGATTAGAACAATTACCTTGTAATCTTCCAAAAAAGGACTTAAACTGTCGCATGGCATTAGAGATGATGTAGTTGAAGCATACCAAGCAACATGAGCTCTTGAAGTTGGTGTCACGCTTAAAACCCTGCCTGGCCACCATGGGAAACCAACTACTTTACCCCATACAATATCACCTGGGGACACCCTTAGTAATTTCCCACCAACTCCTTCAGAACTTTCTGGGAAGTCAGGAACTGTTTCAATTTCCCCATCATCAGAACCTTCTTCATTTCTACGTTCATAAGAATTGCTGCTTAACCTACGCAAGCTAATTGATAATTTCTGTTTCAAGCAATGGTCTTTAATATTACTAAAATAGTCTATTGAATCACATTTACTTGTATTTTCATCCCTTTTCTTTTGAATCCTATGCTTTTTTTTATGTTTTACTTTATGTTTGTGTTTCTTTTCTAAAGGATCAATTGATGCACTGTTTGATACATTGTTTCGAGGTGACAGTGCTCCAATATGTTTTGGTGACTGATCTATCCATAAATCATCATCTTTTTCTGTAGTATTGTTCTTTTTAGCCTGTTTTTTTGCCTTTTTCAATGCTTTTTTTACAGCTTTTGTAGGTTTAGACATATCACAGGAAACACCAGAATCTTCATTAAAATCACCACCTAATGGAGGTATTTTAACAACAGTACCCTCGCCTTCACCAAAACAAATTTTGAGTGTCCTAGCATTGGAAAATAAGTTACTAAAAGAATTGTCACTGTCTTTACAATCTTCTTTGTCAACTAAATCACTATTATCGGAAACACTAACAAAGGCCAACTCCCTAGTAGTTTTTTCACTATCATCACATGGTTTCGTATTTTTTATACTTCTCGCTCTTTCACCTGGCTTGGTAACACTTTTTGATTTTATAGCATTTGTTATTTCACTTGGCTCTAGCCTGGACAGCTTAGGTATTAGCATACTTCCCATCAGATATTTCTTTTCTAATTTCGATGACTCAGAACCGTCTTTGGGCGTATCGTCATCCGAGTCTAATTTGCGCTTCTTGGACACGTCTACATTTTCACTATTTTCATTGCAAATCCCTTTGCAATTTGAACATACTACTTTCCTAGGTCGTAATCTCACTGTCATCTTTCTCCGAGCCGGGGGCTTAGATTTGCCACTTTGTTTTTTAGATCTTTGTAAGTCTTCATGATCATAATCAGGCTCTTGATATGTAAATCTTTGACTCACGGAATGTAGTTTATTATCTTTGCTTTCTGCTTTTTCGTTTTGATTAGAGAATGCTGGGTGAAGACTATACACACCAAAAGGTAAATTACTGTAAAGAAATTAAAATAATGAGAGAAACTACACTTAATCGATAATAATTTTTAATGCAACAAATCAACACGAACCCTTTGTTGGAGTCCAACAGAACACCTTGAAATTTTTTATCTTCTGTACTATAGGTTACCACAATTAAATCTTCTAAAGCTTCTTCTACATTTACTAAAATCTGAGAATTCTTTTGAATCGTCATATCGGCTGTTGCAACGACAGCCGCCATATTCTTTAGTATTTCATAGACAATGTAAATACTAAATATATTATGAACTATGAAGTATAGGTAGAATATATTATGATAAAATTACTGCGTGATACATAGTTATTAAATTGAAAATTTAAAAATAATTTATATTAGTGAATCGTAAGATTATGCAGTTTCTGAAATTAAATCAAAATCTATCACAATTGCAATCGTCTCAAATCTAGTTTCATTAAACCGCAGTCCGCAGGAACTTTTTATTATTGATTACTAATTTCGTACATTACTGGCTCGGTGGTGTAGTGGCTAGCATGTACGGCTGCACACCCGGAGGTCCTGGGTTCGAGTCCCGGGTCGGGCCAAGTTTAGTTATTGAGTCTTTCTGTATAGTAAGTCTCACTTCTCAGTAACAGCCTGGAGTTGGGAAGTTGGTGGTGTTTCACCCCCGTGCCTCGGAGAGCACGTAAAGCCGTCGGTCCTGCGCCTAAACTCTCACCGGTCGTGTCGAGTGGCCGTCCCACCGGAGTATGAGAGTGACAGGAATAGAGAGTGCACTTGTATCTGCGCGTACACTTGTGCACTATAATATCTCCTGCGCAGTTGGCTAGTCTCAATGAGATTGGCCACCATGGCCGGAATCGGTCGGGAGAACATCATCATCATCATCATCATCATGTGTACTGTGTATACAAACATCCTTAACTCGACGCACCGGCGACTGGCGAACTAGGCTAGCGACCACGTCCACGATGCATTAACTTACCTGGAACGAAGCGAGACAATTCATGATCACTGAATTTCTGCGTGATAGGAATCTTCCGCGGTGGAAGATTTGGCTTGTTTTTGGCCGAAACTGAAATTTTGGCTAAAACTAGATTTTTTGGACGTAACTGGTCGAAACTAAAACCATTTTTTTTGAATCAACTATAAAATGTAACTCGTTAAAAAAACGCAAGTAAAAAGTATAATATAATATCGATACATCAAACAAATAATAATGATGTATCGATATTTTATGGACAAGCCTATTTTTTTATTTTGGCCTTTTATGTACTGGTCTGCCACATGAGTTAATTTACCCCACCAATAAACCTCAAATTACCCGGTTTATCCCGCCGGCGCCAACCGTGGGCAGAATACCCGAAAATAGTTTTTTAAAGTAATTAATTCATGTTTTATATGGAATAAAAGAAAGTGAGTACTAATGCTAGAAAAAGAAGTCATTGTAATCAGTTCTCAATTAAACAGCTTTAAATTATTGAATCAAAGATAAAAAAAACTTAAAAAAACAAATTAATCAATTTCCAGTAGTATTTGGCTTAGTAGAGTCAGAAGAAGATCATAAATTGTTTCACAACATTTGAACACTGGGCTGAAATTTCACGATACTTTTCGGCGCGGCCAATATTGTAACATTATTTGTGTTCAATGAGTTTCGATGAGGGTAATGTTTTTTAAATTACTATTATGATAATGTTGCCAGCTTAACTAAAATACCCGCTTTTACTCCGCTCAATGTAACTACTCGACAAAATTACCCGCTATCAAGAAATCACCTTAAATAACCCGCTTTTCAGGTAAATTACCCGGCAATTGGATTGGCAAACGCTTCTTGTTACCTACAACTACATAAAGTTTACTAGTACATACCTAACTAAAATACCTATTTCTTGTTAATCTGTCAAATACCGGTGTAGTCAAGTTTGTAGTCATAGAGTATAATGTATATTGCTACATGTAGTGTAGTGCGGAATGCGGATTTTATAATTTTGCGAATAATTTCGAGAGAGCTTTGCTTGGGTCTCTTCATTAACTTTATTTGATCTCTTCGGTTTTAATTATAATTGTAAGTATAAATGAAATACACTATTAATTACTACTAAACTTACATAATCTATTACGTACAAATAATGTAATTTGTCTATTTAAATATCATTTCACATGAAGATTCAAGGTCTTTTATGAATACATATATAAGTAAGCTTTTGTAATAATACTTAGTGATAATCATTTCATTGATAAATTGTGCCCGAATAAATCTTTGACCAAACATATTTTTAATAGGTACTAAATATTATGTATTACGTATAAAAATATTTTTGCGATTACTGTTAATTATTTTAAAGTAAATTAATTTTAACGTAATATAAAGAGAGATGTTTAATTAAATATAATTATGATATCCAAAACTGTGCATGTATATTCCAAAGCAGAAGCAGTATTTTCTAGTGTGTACTACTCACATGTAATAAAGTAAGCAGACAGTAAATAGTAATAAACTTAGCTTATAATCTTAAACATAGCAATTATATATTTTGCTTCTATTTAAGTTGTCATTCACAATTAGCTGCTTTCAAGACAGTTAATATCGTACATACATACTTTATTTATTTAATATGAAAACAAGAGAGTAATTGTTTTAACAAACTTTTTTCTTAAAATGGTAGCTTTAATTGATTAAAGCTATTTTGTTTTAAAAAAATATTCTTACATTTTGCTTATTAAAATTTTGTTTTTACTTTTAAACTCAGTCATGGATGAGCTTTTGTTAAATAATCCAAAATTTGATGGTTTGTACGAGATTGTTGTTTGAATAAATAAAATATGTAATACATTTATTTATTTGCAGATCATGACTTCTGAAAAGAGAATTGATATAACTCAGCCGCTATGGGATCAAAGCACTTTTGTAGGCAGATTCAAGCATTTTGCATTCATTTCAAACCCTTTACTGTCTCTGGCATCTGAAAAAGAATTATATGAAGCCAAAGACCTATATAATAAATATAAGTTAGTATGTTAATAATAAATTTACAGAAACAAATATTTAAAGAAAAATTATGATAGCATAAATTTTAATATACTACTGAATAAATAAATTGTTTGTCTAAAGATTTAACATGACAACATTTTTTAATTTTTTATCTGTCTGTCTGTTTGTTCTGGCTAATCTTCGAAACAGCTGGACCGATTTTGACAGGATTTTCACTGGTACATAGCTGATGTTATAAGGAGTAACTTAGGCTACTTTTATTTTGGAAAAAAATCAGGGTTATGCACAAAAAAAAATTAAAACCTATGAAATTGTGAATGTTATCTGGGTACCTAGGGATGCACCCGAGCGAAGCCAGGGTAAGTTGCTAGTTTAGCAATAATTTAAGTTTTTATCACTTTCAGACTAGGTCAAGAGCCCGCAGGTATATCCATGTCCCAAGTAGTGAGAGCTAAACAATTGTATGAATCAGCGTTTCATCCAGATAGTGGAGAGTTACAAAATGTATTCGGCAGAATGTCGTTTCAAATGCCAGGGGGGTGTATTATAACTGGGGCTATGTTGCAGTGGTATAGGTAAGTTTGTTTAATTTTAACAGTGATTTAGCTTTGTTTTAAATTATTTAATCAATTTAATTGTCAGGAGTCAACATTTAAATATATAGTAGTAAAATTGTATTAAGTTCATTCTTAGATTTCTTTCAAATGTTATAAATGTAATTAAGTTTCCATAGATGACACATTTGGTTCAGTTTGTAGTGACCCTACTTCCTGTGCCACTGGTCGCGGGTTCGAGTCCCGCTAAGTTATTCATTTGTGTGATGAGCATGAATATTTGTACTCCAGTCATGGGTGTTTATATTTATAATAAGTATGTATTTAAAGTTATATATGGGTAGTGAACCAACTATCTGGTATCCATAACACAGGTCTCATAGCTTACTATAGAGCCCAACATATTTATTTGTCCTTCTTTTATGCAGTTGACATCTTACTTTAACTATATATATGACGTAAACGTCATGTCAGTAGAAGTTTGACAATGCATTATGGTAAATTCAGGCCTGGTAAAGAGAGATCTACGCTTTTCGCTTCACTGCCGTCTTAGTCTTCTTGTTAGGTTTCTTTCTTGAACCCGAAAACCCTTACTGTCCACAGTTCTATTTTTACAATATGCCTTCGCCATTTTACATAACAGCAAGAATTTACAAACAGACTGAAACCGTTTGCTAGCAAATCATATGATATGCCAGCGACATATAGATCAATAAGTGGTAGAAGGCTATATTCATTTATAATTGTCAGTTAGCTCTAGCTTTAACATCTTATGATAGTGCAGCCCCATAAATACCGGTTCAATTAGATACCACTCATTTCATGTATATTAATGGGAAAGATCAGTCTTAGACTAGGAAATAACGCGACGAATTAAAAGAAAAGAAACTCCACGAGTTAAAAAGAAACAGGAAAATATTAGATGTCATATAAAAGACATCAAGACATATTATTATGAAGTAATCGGCTTACTATGGGATTTTATAGGTATATTTTTTTTTCTGAATTATTATAAAATTGAGCCTAATTGTCAAGTATCTAACATTAAAATCTATGGCGTCGTCCGATCTCGAGAAAACACCTTTTTACGGGATATTAAAATATCGTAAATGTTGATTTGACTATGAAATAATGAACTATACTTAGTTTTATTTTACTAAATACTTAATTATGATTATGCTAAAATGTATTCTTTAAGCTATATACCTATTTGGATTTTTTTTATATTTGAATTATAACTTTATTTTAATTCAGACACAGTTCCATATTTATAAAAATGATTAGAATGTATATTAAGAATGCATAAATTTTAACAGCTTATCTTTTTATAAAGAAAAATAAACTAGACCATCTAAGTTTTTAAAGGTAAAAAAAATAAGTCCGTAAAGGTCGCTCGCGATTGAGAACCTAGCCAGTTCTCGAAAGACGTGAAGTCCACCAACCCGCACTTGGCTAGCGCGGTGGACTATTGCCCGATTTCACCAACAACCCATAAGCTACCACCTAAGTATGAGCTTTTAATATTTAGGTGACCCCTAACTGTCGGTGAAACAGACACTGTCCCCTAACAACCCCCTAACCATGCTTAGGGGATCCCTTAAACTTGGGTGACGCTGGTGAAATCGGCCCGTGCCCAGCAGTGGGACGTTAAAAAGGGTTAAATAATACATAAATACAACGCGCTTGTACATGTGAAGTGGTTTCCAACTTCCAATCTTAGGTCTCACACCTGACACCTCTGATATTATTACGTGCGAATCATTTACAACATGATTCGCCGTACACTACGACACCACACGCCGTACGTTCAAGGAAAATATTTCGAGGAAACCTGCTTATTTGAGAACTTAAAGTTTTAGTAAGACATGTTCACTTTACCAACTAGCGCTTGGCCATTTTGGGCATGGATTTTGGGCACTATAGCCTGACCTCTCTCGTATATCGTATATATGTAAAACCTAAGAATTTGGTTTTTGGTCATCAGAACGCGGGCGAAGCCGCGGGCAATGCTAGTCGTAAATAAATTAATAAAAAAAATCATTTTTTAAAACAAGCTTTTATCTTCTATACTTATAATAAAATTCTAACTAAGTCGAATGTATACATTAAATATTTTTTGGAATAAGTCATTAAAATAGTCATCATTATCGATACAGAGGCTGAATCTATAGTTTTTAGAATTTTTGTCTGTCGGTCTGGCTGTCTGTCTGTCTATCTGGGAACGCATCACGAGAAAACCATTAGACTGTATTCAATGAAATTTGGTGAGATAGTTTGAGAGGCTGGTTATCCGGGTCAATATATAGGATACTTTTTACCGGCGGAAAAATATGTCATTTCTGAGAAATCTTTACTAAATGTTAAAATGTAATTAGGGACCAACCCGAGCGGAGTGAAGATGAGTCACTAGTCTAATATAATATCAAAAAGTAATGTATCAAATCAAAGTACAAATAATAAATACTCAAGCATTTTCTAAAAGTTGTTATGCTTTTCGCAACCTTGTTGTATTTTAAAAACTTCTTTTGGTAAGCGTAGGTAATTGGTATGTTTGTTACTTTGCATAATTTTTGTTTATTATGTTTTAGAACGTAGGTAAGACCGACCTCCAAATGCTATAATATCGGGTTTCGGCAAATAATATACAGCACAGTAGTGATTTGCATTTTGTGTAAAGAAAAATAATTTACTCTCAGCTGTTGGCTGTATAAAAAAATGTCCTTACTTGATCTTTTACAACAAATATTTAAAAGTAATAAGTAGTAAGTCCGCCCGCGTTCAGATGACCAAAAACCAAATTCTTAGGTTTTTCGTATTAGTATACTCTTATAATGCAGTTTTTGTATTTTTTCTCAAAAATGAGATATTTTCCCGCTGTAAAAAGTATCCTATATGGATGACCCGGATAACCAGCTATGACCATGCCAAATTTTATCAAAATCCCTCCAGTGGTTGTTCTGTGATAACAGACAGACAGACAAAAATTCTAAAAACTATAGATTCGGCCTCTGTATCGATAGTAATGTTTATTTCAATAAGATTTTCCAAAAAAATCTAATGTACAGATTCGGTTTCGTTACAATTTTATTATATGTATAGGTAATATAGAAGAAGATGATTAATAAAAATAATACTTTAATCCCTCCATGTCCGCTGACCCGCCGGCGTTACAGTTAACAATAGATTTCTTAGAAATTTACCTGGAGGTGTTAATCTTTTGTTATTTGTACTTTTTAAGCATTAGTTCTCTTCACCTTGAGGCTTATTATTTTTTTCTTCATTATAATAAAATCAGCTATTTTTATTTAGGTATTAACATTAATTTACTTATCACAGTAATGAGTATTATCTTAATATTTGTATAATGTTTTAAAATATTATTGTTTGTCTTCATCTTTACTTTATGACACTTTATATTATTCTCTTGTCTGAGGTATATTATTTCCTTGTATAGGTGAACTAAATTTTTATCAAAATTATAAATAAATATGTTGGGACATCAACACAGCACCATCTAGTTCCATGGTAAGCTACGAGGCTTGTGTTATGGATACCAGATAGTTGATACACTACACATATATAACTTTAAATATATACATATTATAAATATAAACACCCATGATTGGAGTACATACATTCGTGCTCATCACATAAATGAATGCCCCCAGCGGGGCTTGATCCCGCGACCGTTGGCACAGCAAGTAGGGCACTACAAACTGAGCTAAACTTTTCGCACTGAGCCAAATCGATTTAGTGATAGGAGTATTATTATATCACATTAAATAATATTACTTTAATATTTATTTATTATTTTTTAAAATAATTATATTTGATGACTAATTTCAAATTCTTTTTTTTAGAACAACAACTGCAGTCGTTTTTTGGCAATGGGTAAATCAATCGTTCAATGCATTAGTGAATTATACAAATAGAAACGCAAATTCGCCATTAACAACTACGCAAATGGGTGTTGCGTACGTTTCGGCGACCTCGGCCGCCATGGCAACGGCGTTCACTTTCAAATTTGGAATACAAAAACGCGCCAAAAATCCTATTTTGGCTGTAAGTGTTATTTTTTTTTCTTCTTTTTTAAGGTCCTGTAGGCAAAAGGCTAAAATGGAATCCTTATAATTTCGCCATGTCTATCTGTTCGCCTGTCCGCCTATCATAGCTATTTTATTAAAAGACTGAGTTACATTGTTGTTTGGTAAGTTAAACAATTCCGTAGTAAAATTCAATAAAATAAAAAAATATATATGGTATGGCACTCCATACATATAATTGTGGGCTCCAAACATATATTTTTTTTTATCTTATTAAGCATGTATGGTGTGGTCTCTAGATCGGTCTTTAAAAATCACATATGTACATATTTCTAAGTGACTCTTTTTTGCCATGCCGGTAGTATCAGAGTTTTATGCTTATAAAGCCGCACGTAGTGAGATTTTTTTTTATTTTACTTTTAATGTGAACAAATTCATAAGTTAAAACATAACATATTTTGAATGTTTCATCAGTCAATTTTATCTACTTGATTCATGCGAATATCAATTGTTATTATTGCATCGATAGACAGAAAACGAATGACGTGAATATTATGACATTGCAATTAAATGTGACACTATCGCGACAGAGCACTAAGCGACCGTGATTGAGATCACAACCACCACTAGGGTTGTAAACTATTTATAATATAATATATACAATACCAATATTTTAAAATACAAGTATTTTAGACAAACGAAAACATATCTACCCCACGGGAACCGTAAGTTTTGCCAGGATAAAAAGTAGCCTATTTGTTATTCTGATGTATGAACTATATTACTGTGAAGTATCATTAAAATCCAATCAGTAGTTTTTGTGTACTAAACTGTATAAATTACTGTAGTTTTTAACTATCCCACGGGAACTCTTTAATTTTCCGGAATGAAAGTATCTAAAATGTTGACCGGGGATATAAGGTACCACCATGCAAAATTTCATTTAAATCGGTCCAACAGTTTCGGATATTAGCCTGTACAAACAGATAGAGAAACAAAAAATTGAAAAAAATATGGATTTGTTCTATTTCTCTTCCTATATCTCCCTGACTCTGTATTTAGCATTTTTTTCTATGTACAGACATTGGACCTCTACAGTTTTATTATATGTAGGTATAGATAAAACTATTTTTTCAATGTGGGTTAGAAAAATAAAAACAAGACGCTAGCGAACAGAGGCTTTATTTTGATAATTATAATTTAAATAATAAACAATTTGATTTCGGTAATATTAAATGTATGTACATACTACACAAAACTAGTAAAAAAAATTAAAATTTTAATTCGGATAATAAAATCGAAGATGAATCGATACATTACCAAAGGGAAAGTGTTGAAAGGGAGTCTAACAAAAAATAAAAAACATAAACTAAACGCGAACGAAGATGCGTTGTCTATGGTCCTAGTGCATGCTCAAAGCACTAGCCAAAATAATTTGTTACACTTTGAAATAAAAAAATCCTAAATTTATAAGGAACCAATAAAAACTAGCGCGCCTCTAGAAAAACATATCTATCCCACGGGAACCGTAAATTTTTACAAAGCTTGTGTGCTATTCCAGACCATAATCTATATATATATCTGTGCCAAATTTCATCCAGATCCGTTCAGCCGTTCTGGCGTGATTGAGTAACAAACATTCATATAAACTTTCACATTTATAATATTAGTAAGAAGTAAATTTATAATTCGATGAGGCGGGAATGATAAGTAATTACATACAGAGTGTTATAAATTAAAGACGCATAATAAAAAGATAGCAAATAATTAACATAATTATCTAATAAGAACACGTTTTATATTAATTAGATCCAATAATAACAAATTTACTTGATACTATAATATTTTTTAGAGTTTTTTACTTAACCGAAATATTATTATACTTAAGTATACTTTTCGTTTCGCTTTATCGTAGGATAATCATTCATATTTCATAGGGTAAGATAGGATCAATTTCATATACAGGGTGGATATTTGAGACGGGATAGTAAGGGCAGGTACCTTAACTGCTATAGTTACAGGAAAACGTTCCTAGGAGACCATCCATAACGTTTTGCGATATTCTGAACTGCATTCACAGATTTTGGAAAAAATGTACAGTCAGCGAAAAAAATGCTAAAATACCAAAAAAATTTTTTTTTGATCTCAATCGATCCTATTTCATGTAGGGATCAAAAGTCTCTATAGGACCATTTAAGGTATAAGTTTTAGAAATGACAGATATCGCCGAAATTTTTCCCATACATTTTGTAGGTTTCACGTTGACGTTTGACATCTGTGAGAGACCAGTCTCTCCCGTGACCATGATTGCTGTTAAGCATTCGAAAGATCGGGAACCAAAAATCTCAATAAATCTGCGAAATAATCTGAAAAGAAAGAATATTTAGATATTTTAAATATATCTTTTCGTAAGTTTGTTAAAATGTAATAAGTTACGACTAGTACAATTGTTCATTTTTATTATTTAGTATATTCAATAAGTTTTTTTTTAATAAATAATAAGTTTTTTAGTACCTAAAGCAATTTCAAAGAAATTCATATTTAAGAATGATTAAAATATTTCAGAGATTTGTGCCATTCGTAGCGGTAGCGGCAGCTAACTGGGTCAACATTCCTTTGATGAGGCAGAACGAAATACTTTTAGGTAAAAATTTTTACATTTATTAATCAATCAATACAACTACAACTAACATAAATACATAAAGAATTCTCCCTCGCATACTAACGCCATCTTTATTCACAACAACTAGCGGCTGACCCTGGCTTCGTTCGGGAACGCCTTTAGGAAAACAAAAACAAATCTATCCCACGGGAACCGTACATTTTTTTGGGGATAAAAAGTCTATGTGTTATTCTGATGTATGAGCTATATTGTAAAGTTTCATTAAAAACTTATTCAGTAGTTCTTGCGTGAATTAGTAAGAAAAATCCATACATCTATCTATCTACCTCAAAAACTTTTGCTTTTAGTTGGATATTCGTAGGAAATAATGATGTCTGTCAGACTAGCCAACTATGCGAGATATTATAATGCAGTGTGAGTGAGGGAGAGTGAACACAGAACGTGCTCTCTCTGTCTCTTTCACTCATACTCATAAATCTCTCATTAATACTCATTTCTAGTAATGAATCGGATATTTGATTGGGCGGAACCCTAACACTGATTTCTAAAGATACACGGATATTTAATAGGCGGGATTGCCGGATATTTAGACTTTTGTCATGTTGCGACAATTTTATAAGTAGACGCACAAGTACTGCATATGCAATCGGTGATATTTAATTGGCGAAAGTCAAATGTTTGCCAGCTTAATAAGTTGGCTAATTTTAATTGGTGGCTCGAAGCAGTACCCACTAGTCAAAGTTTGTCACAGTGTAAAATTTGCTAGATTTAGAAGTCAATTTTCTATGACTTACCTCACGGATAATTTTTTGTTAAGGCCGGATAATTGTGTCTCTATCCAGTATCAGCCGGATAACAAAATAAGGATAGGAATAAATACCGGATAGTTGCCGAATATCCGTTTCATCTTTACTTTTCACTTTAATACATATTCCGGTGAGACAATTCGACACTAACACAAACTTCCCGACTTCAAGTTGTTATTGAGAATTTCTTAACAGAAATATGACTTGGGACTCGAACCCAAGACTTCCTGATCTCCAGCTGTACATGTTATCAACTAGTTTACGCCCTAAGATATTTTTGCATTTTAAAATATTAATGTATAGATACATTTAATAACATTTATCTAGTTTTTGAACGACTAAAAATCTTTCTAACTTCATTCAATTAGATTTTACTAGTGCTCTTGAAGAAAAAAACATGTAACAGCCTATATTTATTTTGAGCATAAATTGCAATTAATACACTATAGTTAGTAATATATAATTATAAATCGCAGCTTTATTATGGGGTTTTCTAAATTAATATTACTTTTTCCTTACAGGATTAGATGTGACGGACGAAAATGGTAAAATAATAGGGAAATCCCAGCTGGCTCCAGTCAAGGGGATATCTCAAGTAGTCACTTCTAGGTGCGTGTCCTTAAAATCAGAAAAAAAAAAACTTTATTTTACTAGATATTTTTAGTACTTTTGGATCAAACGATTTGTTAATATTTCCATCGTCAAGGAATCCCTTAAGAGTTTTATTGTAATATCCTATAGGTAAAATGAATGCAAAACATGTCATTATCCGATTCATAAACTATTTTTTTTTGTACATATGGTCTTAAAATCGCTCAAGAGGTTATCGTTTTTGATGGCTAGCTGACGCCATTGATGATTATATTTTCAATATACATATATTTTTATTTCATTTTTACCCCCTATCAGATGAATTAATTTTTTGTTGTTATCACCCGAATTTTTAATAACTAATCGGTAATTTTTTCTTCAATTATTTTCGTAGTGTTTGTAATCTATGTATATATAAAATTACTGAACGTTTCGGTATGGGACTTGGGCTAATCGACGCGGGATCATCTGTAGATAGTTTTATTCATTTTTTAAATTCCATACAAATCTTTATATATATAATTCTTCTGTGAGTGTGTATGTCACTGAACTTCTCTCAAACGACTGGACCAATTTTGATGAAATTTTTTGTGTGTGTTCAAGGGAATCTGGGAATGGTTTAGATTCACAATTTGAATAATAATTTTCATCAAAAAATTATTAAAAAAAGTTTGAAATTTTCAAATTAAAGACGTGTAGACAGGACAACGTCTGTCGGGTCCGCTAGTTCTCTATAATTTTCTTTACGCCCATAAAAAAATCGACACTTTTTTTTGTTTATTTGTTTTTTGATTTAACCTAAATATTTAATTTATTGCATAAGCGTAAAACCTAAATATACATTAAGGTTTCTGAAGACCAAAAGAAATTAAATACTTCTTCTTCCCAGCAACTGGGCGGGTGATGACAAGTATTTTTCTATTACTTTAACATACTCTGTGCTTAAATAAAATACCTATCTAGGAAGGGCTACTAATAAAACTTTCGATTTTTGATTGGTATTTATTCTTTTTTTTTAATTATAATATTTTGTTACAGAATAATAATGTGCTCTCCGGGAATGTTGCTCCTACCATTTATAATGGAACGGTTGGAACCGAAGGCGTGGATGCAGAAGATAAAATGGGCCCACATCGGCATACAGACCGGCATCGTGGGCATGTTGTGAGTGTTTTGTAATATATGTATAATATAATGGAAACAATGTCCATTTAAATGGTATTAATATATTGCCGATAAAAATTTTAAGATATGAATATCTAATAATTAAATATGTGTTTTACGTATATTAGATTTGCTTGATATTCTAAATGAAAACCTCCGCTTAGTTCTTTTTTACATTTTAGTGCCTGGAAGTCGGTTTTTTTTAAGTTTTTATTAAATACAAGTAATTTGTACCGTAAACAGAAAAAATGATTTAGACAGTAATTATTTCTTTAAAAATGACTAATAGACACTATAGAATTTATAATTATTAATAAGGCTATTTTTACTACCAATATTATTAACAAATTTTATATTATATAAAAAATTTCCAGTCTCACTTTGATGGTGCCGATGGCGTGCGCGATATTCCCACAGAAATGGTGAGGTTTTAATTACTTATTATCTAATATTTATGTGTTGTTTAATTATCTTTTGATTCTGTTGACCGACTGAAAAGGAGAAGGTACTTTGGAAGTAATTTGGATGTATGCTCGTTTTTATATATGTTATATAATAGTTTGAATTGATTCTCTTTTAAATGAATACGAATTTCAACGAAAAATTCTACCATACTTGTGCGTGGAGTAATAAATTTTAAAGCGATTTTGTTGGCAATGGTTAGCTATATTTATAGTTTAAATGTTAGGTATTTTGTCACCAATTTACTAAATTTACTTAACCGATTGAATAAAAAAAATGCAGTTGAAAAAATATGAAAACTAAATTAATTATAAGACCTTTAGGATCAGTTCTTTAGAATTGGTGAAAATGTCGCGTAATATTCACAAAAACAACGTTTAGAAATTGGAGTGCCTTTTTGAAAACAGTCAAAAATAAATGGAGGTGAGGTCTATGTTGTCAGTTGTTCAGAAAAATATGTACTAGCAACTCACCCTAGCTCCGCTCGGGTTCGTTCCTAGTTACGTTTTAACGTTTAGTATAGATTTCTCAGAGATGAGACATTTTCCCCGCAGTAAAAAGTATCCTATATGTTGACCAATCCCTCCAGTGGTTTTTCCGTGATGCAGTAACAGATAGACAGACAGACAGACAAAAATTCTAAATACTATAGATTCGGCCCCTGTATCGATAATAATGTCTATTTCAATAAGATTTTCCAAAACATATTTAATGCACAGATTCGGCTTTGTTACAATTTTATTATATGTATAGATAAAAATATTTCCTTTTAAATAGGTACCTTATAAGTGTTAAGTAAAGTGAAACTTTAAAACCATCAAAATCGGGCAAGCATGTTAAGAATGAGATCAAAAATGAACACACACACCGAATATTTATATTTTATTATTATTTGTGAAATTTTAAAAGCATTTTATAATATAGATTTTTTTTATTGTAGTAAACTTTCTATAGAAACAATCAAACGTTTCGAAAAGGACAGATACGAGGAGATATTGAAGAACACCGACGGGAAACCCCCGGAGTATGTGTACTTCAATAAGGGTTTGTAAATGTATCGATTCAGATTAAACCATATCGATTGTTTGGACTTACGATTAATCGATTAATTAACTATGCAAATACGTTACTTATGAGTTTAGTAAAATAATTAGTTTTATGTAATCTACTTATCGATATGATTGATTTCGTAAAAATCGATTAAAATAATCGATTTATTAGTTGGGTACTTATTCGGTACGTTTAGTATAGATTGTGAAAAGAACTATGAGTTTGTATTGAAATTAAATATTATCATATTATTAATCTTATGATATTAAATGAGCAATTCTTGCATATATGTATATAAATTTATTTCTTGAATCTCTGAAACGGCTCTAACGATTTGGATCAAATTTTTGTATTTAGATACGTTTTTGCTTTTAAAGTTTATCTATATATATAAAGGTATCTTTTCTGATAAAACGTATTTTTCTGAAAAAAAAAAACACGGTATTATTACTTATTAGTTATAATTATTTATATTCATTTGTTTTGATTTTTGATATTTTCGTAAATCAGCCTCAAAGTTATCATACTTTGATATTATATATTTATTACAAAACTAATGAATTATGTAATTTTTCATATCTTATTTAATTTTAAGTTCTTACCCAACTTTTATTTATTGTTATCAAATTGTTTCTAACTGTCCAGTTTAAAAGAAGATAGAAAAGAGTCAGTAAAATGTTATAATTTGACGACACGTTTGGCTCAGTTTGTAGTGCCCTATTTGCTGTGCCAGCGGTCGCGCGTTCGAGTCCCGCTGGGGGCATACGTTTGTGTGTTGAGCACGAATGTTTGTTATCCAGTCATGGGTGTTTATATTTATAATATGTATATATTCAAACTTATATATGTGTAGTGTATCAACTATCTGGTATCCATAACACAAGCCTCGTAGCTTACCATGGAACTAGATGGTGCTGTGTTGATGTCCCAATAACATATTTATTTAAATAAAGATTAAAGATATACAATGTATCTTGTAGCTGTATCGTTTGCTAATTTTTTTTTTATAATTTATAAAATTACATGTTTATTCTATGAATAATTTAATTTTAAAGATGTTCTTCGATAAATGTACTGTTCTTTCCATAATGTCTAAATTACTTTAACTAAAACATTGAGATAGATTATATACAAAGAATATTTGTTGGCTTCATTTTTATTGTTCTACTAGCGACTCATCCTCGCTTCGCTCGGGTTCGTCCCCTTTGATTCCCATATAAACTTTCATCCACACTCTCACCCCCTTAAGGGATGATTTTCAGGATAAGAAGTATTCTATGTCCTTCCCAGGGTCTCAAACTATCTTCTTACCAAATTTCATCTAAATCGGTTAAGTAGATCCAGAGATTACCCCCTACAATCTCACTAACTCACCTTCTTTACTTACCTCTTTATAATATTAGTATAGATAATAGATATGCTATGACTTTTAAAGTTTTTGTCTTTTTTTTGTTAAGTGTACTTTTAGATGTAGTCGTAGTAATAACATTTGGCATCTTAGTGACTAATCTAGTTTTGTGAAGTTTGTTTTTATAAATTTATATTTAAAAGAGATGAAATCGATTTCTTTTGTTATAACAACATAGGAGAGATATATTCTGTTTGAAACTTTCCATTTTATAGTTTAAAAAGTCACTGCCATATCACTATTACTATACTTTAAAATATTTTTCAATTTTTTTTTAAATAGCAATATCTAACCATTCGTTTATTTTTTTAATTTAGTTTTTCTGTAATTAAAAAAAACTATTTTATATATATATATATATATATATATATATATATATATATATATATATATATATATATATATATATATATATATATATATATATATATACCACATAATGCATAGTACAATAGTTGCGAATAAACACTTTGCCTTATAAAGACAATATATTATTAAAAGCTGTTAATGAATTAGCTGTTATATATCATTGTTATTGCTAAGGATATATTTTTTTCTTATTATATTTTTTTATTTATTTTTATATTACTTTCATGCCAACATTGATTACAAAGTTTTTAGTCCTTGAATTAATTTAGTTAAGTTTATTAAGTATTATCATAAGTTGTACATTTGCAATATTTGAGATGGTTTTTCTTCATATTATCAAATTTTCAACCACTGGTGGGTTTATTAATTTTCAGAAAATCATTAAATTCGTGTAACGTAATTTATGGCTGGTACCTTATTAAAAACTAAGGAAAATAAACAAATACCACTTTCAAATATGATATACCGTATCAGATTTTGCTTGAAGTGCTCTAAAGCCATGTCTGTAGTTAAACTTACCTGTGCAGATATAGAATAGGTTTAGAAATGGTAGCGAATTTTTTTAATCAACCTCGAATGTCTTTTAAAATAATATACTTAATTAATTTAATGTTATGGAATATATTGTTTTTTTTTGCCGTTTATCAATAGTTTATAAACCCAATTTTTATCTGTATTGTTTAACGCAGATATATCTTAGTGTGTACGTATCATTTTATATTTATGTATATATTATAATATATATGTTACTGGCCAAACTAGATTTCATGGCAAATAGCTTTGTCAAAATGTGTCAAGATCCCGGACAAATTACATTATGACATATACAATGAAAAAACTATTTGTTTAGAATAAGTATCTGCCTCTTAATTAAATAAACTTTGACCGGTAAATATATTTGTGTTAAAATAAAAAAAAAATATTCAATATTATGTAATTTTTCATTGCAGTCTATTAATATTAAGTAGTATTTTCGAATATTTTTTTTTTTTTGAGATTAAGTTTTTTTTGGTGATGTTTTTTTTCGCTTTGAATCTTTCATAATATCAACATGATTATCGATTACATTCCATATAAGTTTGTAATTTCAATATTTCTAAGTAAAACATTTTTTTAATTATTTCTATACATAAAAATAGTTTTATTTGTTTATGTGGTATTTGAAGTGAAACTTCTTTAAAATCGTTGTGATCTGAAATTCGATGGAGCGAAAATGCGACACTAAAAAGAAACAAACACATAAATATTTAGGATTAAGCCGGCGAGAGAATGAGGTAGAATACATTGCCATGTTGCCATGGTAACCGTTGTTATTGTCTGACAAATATATAATATTATATTCTTCCCGTATATGATATTCTATTCTTCCCGTATATGATATTCTATAAATATATGATTAAAATATGCCCAATATGCCTTAATTAATTATTGATTTGTTTTAATTTAATTGCAACATTTGCCAAAGAAGTTTTACTTCAACCGCGCTTAAAGGTTACACGCACCCATTTTTTCTTACGGATTGAATTGTTCTGGGTAGTAGTGTTACTTCTTATTCATAGCCATATTGTTAGTATTACTATTGATTTTTTTTTTATTTTAGATCTACAATGCTGCATTTGGTATTTTTTTAAAGCCTACAAAAATATTATTTAATTTCAATATAAAAAAAAACATTTTTATAAAAAATGAGGCCGTAAAAATCTACACTTTGCAGTATATAATTTTAAGAATATGTTTGTGATATTTTTTTGCACGAATTACTTGAACTTGAGTTTAAGTGTCAAAATTTATATGATATTTTTTTTAGAACAAAATGCCGTATGATATTAAATAAGTCATGGAATCTGAAATATACAATTTTATTTTATATTTACTTTCTGTTGGTTTTTTATGTTAATATTGCTAGTTATTTTGTTTCCTTTATTTTATATGTATATTTTTAATAAGATGATGCTTTGCTTTTTTTATTTGTTGCTTTTTAATCATACACTTGGGCGCAGAGCAAAAACGGCCTAACCTACAGTTATAATTTTTTTTAAAGTATTAATATATATATTTTTGTAAAATATATTATATTTTTTTTTGGAATTTTAAAAGAGCATTGTAAATTTTGTAACTGGATTTCGTTTTTTTCTCTGTTTATTTGATAAATGTTCCTATTTGTTATTAATAATTTTCATGTGTTTTTACCAGAGAATGTACTATTTGATTTTTTTTTATTTACTAATAATTTCATTGTTTCAATTATTATAAAGTGACCCTTTGAAGAAGATTTTTGAAGAAAGGTTAAATCACACACATGGTCACATCATATATTTATTATATATTTCAAACTAAGCCTTAGGCTAAAAGGTTAGGCCATTTTTACTAATAATCTAAAGTCAATTGGATTGTTAGTTGTTTGTATTGTTAATGCTTTAAAACAGACAATAAAAATATAGTTACAAACAAGTTGTTTTATTTTAAAAAATATATTAAAGTTACTTTTGTTAGTTATATAAAAAAGGATAGTTTTATTTTTGTATTAATACTAGCACTATCCGTGGCTTCCAAATCCGGCTACTAAACTTCACAGGACCACTCGCTGGGCTAATCTGAAGATTATCTGAAAATTTCATCAAAATCGCTCCAGTCGTGTTAGAGTCCATAGGAAACATACACACATCGATATATAGATAGACTATTAATATATTATAATTTGTAATACTAGCGACTATTTATTGTATATTGCCAAAAAAACCTGGGAAAGGCTAGTCTTAGATTTTTTGTATTCTTTGTATTTTTATCTTTGGGACGTGATTAATAATAAAACTTTTTATTATACACCAAGAAAAAAATATAAAAAAAATACAGATTCTATAATGTTTTAGAAATCAATTATAATTTAACAAAAACTGTATTGAGAAATAAAACAATAAAATAATACATAATTTCTTTATTCATATTCGATGGAACTTAAGAAAATTAAACATTTGAACTGAAGCTTATAACTAAGATAAATTACACGTGTTAATTTACAGTTGTTAGTGTATGATACATGCGGCACCGCGGGATGAGTATAGCGATATGTGGCAAGAATTTTGATTCAAATGATAAATAAATATAGTAGGCAGTGGTAACCGAGTGAAGCGGGTTCAAATCCCGGGTCTCGCTTATATTTTTATGTGCGAATCATTTCTAACATGATTACCACTTCTGTCTAAAGATGAAGGAAAACATCATGAGGAAACCTGCATGTCTGAGAATCTAGCAAGTTTTCGAAAGACATAGCCAGATCCCCCTCGTATAGAAGGGAGACCCACGCCCAGCAGTGGGACGTTAAAAGGGCTGAATATATATATTAAATTTCCAAATATAAATAATATATCATATTTAATATGTTATATTTTCGGATGCCACTTCATTTCCAGCTTATCATAATGGTGCCTAAATCTTAATTTATATTTATATATGACATATCGTGCGTACATCTTGTAACGGTTTCTAAACGTTAGTATTATGTTATAATTTGAAAATATACCTACGTGATTTAATTTACGTATTTGTGTATAAAAACCGAAAACACGCACTAATATAATTTCAGTTAAACTTATATATAGATCTGAACTTCATATTTCTGAGTAATATACACACTCTAATACATAACGCGTTAGAAGTATTTATTTATATTCCAATATGTTTAATTTGAATGTTGAAAGGGATGAAAAATGTCGCGAAGTTAGATCTCCATTTAATACAATATAAATAGATACATTTAAAAGTTTCTAAACTGCAAGTTTTGCTTTAGACTTATAAGAACAAGATAACAATATGGAATATGCGATTTAAATAAAGGTGAAATATTTTTTGAAGTGGAAACTTCTATAGGCAGGTTTGGATGGGGAGTAAATTCATGTAAGTCGTCATCGACATGGTCACGTGACGTGTTAACGCTAACACTCAGATTGTCGATAAATATAAACAGTTTTAATTTACGAATTTTAATTTAAAATCAAATATTTCATTTAAATATCCAAAAGTAACAAGTGTTTGCTTTATAGTTTTAAGTTTTCACTTCTGTTGGCAGTTCTCATAGCTGTTTTTTTTAATCTTTATTGCTTTTGAATTAACTTGATATTTTTAATGTAATTTATATTTCATTAAGAAAGTAATTATTGAAAAGTGCAAATATAGGTGGGAAATTCAAAATAGTTGAAACGTAACTCCACTGGTAAGACCGAATGTGACGTCAGAGTATATTATATATATATATATATATATATATATATATATATATATATATATATATATATATATATATATATATATATATTACAGAGCGCTATTGTTTAGTGTTTGCGAAATATAAACAAATATAAAAAAAATATTTGTTTTGTTTGTTTATTAACAATCTAGACCTGTTCATTCGTTGATTACAATGTTGTCATAGATTATGACGTCACGCCGTAATGGTTGACGTTTATACTTTATAGTATCCGTATCTGTATGATATATTAAAAAAAATACAAAATTTTAGTTTTTTGGAGCTGTATAGTTTTTTTAATTTTATAACGATATAAGCTATTGTATAAGAAGAAAAAAAAACAAAATACGCATATTCCCTATTGGTTTATTTTTTAAGTCTTAAAGTATAATCTCAAGTATAAATAGTTTAGAAAGTTTAAATGAGTATAATTTCATGATTTAATACACATTAGCTTTCCCAATAAGCACGGAGGCATCGCACATCGCCTTCGCAGTGGAACGAACTAAGAACATCAAATGAAATTGTTCAAAAACATTCAATTGCACTCTAGTTCTGACTAAACCGTGTAAAACCGTTGCTCTTTCTAAATCCAGCCATCTTTGAAGAGACAGTTCTCTTTCCTCGACCGGAACACCCTGTGCAACATCTAATGGCCCCCATAACATAAATTCTAACACTGACTTAGTCTGGTTTAAAGAAACCGCCCTTTCTTCCTGTAAAACTTCCTTTAATAAAGGGGTAAGTTTTTCACCTGGCAACAAAATGTCGATGGCCTTTAAAGCGCATTTACAGAGAGAGCTGAGATCTTCGTCGGTTGATTTACTGCAGTTCATATCTTCAGTTAATCTGTAATGTTTTTAAATATAAAGTTATATTTTAAAATCATTTTTAATGTTATTCCACCATTTAGGGATTTGTTTTACATAAACGAGGCCTTTACATAAGCAAATATAAAACATGTATGAGTCCGATTGCATAAGTATTATATAAAAAAAAACATTTTTTTTAATTCGCTTCTTATGCAATTGGGTTTTACTTATTTATTTATTTATTTTAGTTTGGATATCGCAAACATACAGATATTAATGACATTTGGTTTGGACTGCCCCTATTAAGATTTCAACATCTATAAATCTTTTAATTAAATTGATATAAAATTTATTTAAACTATTTGGAAGTTAAAATTATCAAAATATACATATTTTCTTGTCCAGCCACTAAAAGTATAATTTTTTTTATTATTTGATGCTCATATTTCATAGTCAATATTAAAAGTAACAAATTTTAAGTAAAATAACATTAGTATACTAATGTTTTACCATACTTCAGGCTTCATTATGGAAAGGATTATATTTTATTTACCTTTTATATACTTTAGTTTTAAGATATTTATTTTAAAAGTAAGTTTATATAATGTATTCTACATTTAAGATAAGTTTTACTGTTGTTGAATTTAAACATGCTTGAGATTACTCTGTGACAAGGACGAGGTTACGAACAAAATAGTTTTTATAGGTTTAAAAATATTATAAAAAGGTGTCTGTCAATGTCAATTAAAACAAAGCAAAAAGTTTTACCTTAAAACGGCCTTTTTTTAATATTCTATTATTAATTTAATGTTATTAAGTACGTTTTAACTTTTAGTCAGTTACGAATTCCAACAATTCTATTATAAAGGAATACAGCTAACTTCATCATGTCGCTTTTTGGCTGTCGGAGTGCGCGCGCATCGTAAAAATTTTACTCTTATAATTTTTTCCAAACGTGAGAAAAGAAAAATTCAATAAATGTCGGTAATTGTGAAAAAAGAGCCACTGCTAAGCTGTCCTATTCTTATTTTACATGTTAATATTATGTTTGCCATATTTAAAAGTATTAAAATAATCAATAATTAACACCAATCGACTTTGACTGAAATCAACAGAAATATTGCTATACAAAAACACACTATCAACAAAAAACAAACAAACAATACATACCCTTGTAATATACATAATCTGCCGTAACAGTTGGTTTTTGGCGCCGACAGCGAGTTCAACCTGTCATCCGAAGGCGTCGCATTACAGTGCATTTCCTTCAAAACTATAAACGAAGTGAGCATTTCTGGTATTTCTTCAACTCCTCGAGATTGAAAACACTTCAATCCATTTATTATTTGTAACAACATAAATATTGATTCGTGAATTTGGTCTGTTTGTACGATTTGGTGCTCTTTAGTGCTAAGACCTTCTGTCGCACGCAAATGTTCTCCGTACGAGTGAATTGTATCGACTTGTGCGTTCGCCAACACTACTATTGTCGCTGGAAATAAAATAATAATAAGGTATTTTAATGTTATATAGATGCATTATTAAGATACTTTGAAATATTTTTAATTTATAGTTGTCTATGTTTTTGTTTATTCATAGAATAATGTTTATTAAGACAGTAAAAAGCATTAATAGTGATTCAATGAAAAAAAAACGTTTACGGAAATTATTTGTCAGGAGCGGGATTCGAACCCGTGACCTTTTGCATAGACAGATACTCCGATCACTACGTCGGAGGGTTCACAGTAGAAATATTAATTCCGCAGTAAAATCCTAAGCAAATATCAGCGATACGTATATTTACTTATCCTTATTGAAATAAATTAACCCAAATAAATTATATTATTATCATATGTTCTGCTAATGTTAGTCTAAACTAATGTTATAAAGAGGTAAAGTTTGTGAGTTTATGAGTTTGTGAGATTGTAGGGGGTAATCTCTGGATCTACTGAACCGATTTAGATGATAAGAAGATACTTTGAAACCCTGGGAAGGACATACGATATTTTTATCCCGGAAATCATCCCTTAAGGGGGTGAAAATGGGGATGAAAGTTTGTATTGGGAAGCAAGTCACTCGTTCTTAATATAGCGAGGAATCCCGTTGACAAATTGTTAATTAAAAAAATTAAATATTATTTGTTTATTGCAAGAATATTTCTAAGTAAGTGACTAATATAATAATATATCTTATAACCGCAAAAAAGAAATTAAAAAAATATATTATTAAAAAGAATATTAAAAATATTTTATATACAATATGTGTATGTATGTTCGTTACTTCTTCATATTGAGTAAACACGAAATCTAGAAAAATTGAAGGCGTTAAAGTACGAGTAGTTATACCTACTCGTACCTATAAACTCTAATCTATTGTTAGTTTCAATGGAAGTCCTATGTTTTTGCTGTTAAAGCATTGATACACAAAAACTCAACATACAATTAGCGTCTCAAAAGTGTCCTTAAAAAAGTGCACAATTCGAAATTGCATTGAATTGCGCTTTTTTCAAATCTCTTTCGTTCATTGCTTTTCGAATGACAAAATTAAAACGCACGTAGTTTCGTTTAAAAAACTACTTTATGTTGTAAATTCTAAATTATTATTTAAGTAAATAGGACGTTCGATTTTGAATGTTTTTTGTTCTATGGCTTATAGGCGTGCCATTTGGGCACAATTTACTTATCTTATGTCGTGTAGAATCGAGAAGACACGGTGGAAATTGAGAATTGATGATTTTGTTTGTTATTCTTTGGTTTCACTTAACGTCACATATCGACGCCATTTTTTAAGGAGATATTTATTAGGAAGTGTGTATTTATGTTTTAATATATCAATGTGTTAAAGATATAGAGATTAGTTTAGACTCATAAATGAAGTACGCGAACAAAGCCTATCTAAGTAAGACTAATAGCTACGCTAGATACAAATAATAAAAAAAAATACCTTGCACCAAATCTTCTCCATCTTCACCAAACTGCTGTAAAGGCACCAGATCACAAAACTCAGTTATGGCATTCAGATTCAAAGTACTCGGCTGTACTGACTGACTGACTATGTGTGACGCAGTTTGTTCCTTACAAAGCATTAGTGTGACATTCACTTGACCACCGCTAGAGTTCCACAGTGCGGGGTAAAAGAATCGCTTCCCAGCTTTCGTATACGATTTATTTTGGATTGCGAAATCCGACCAGCGTAGGTTTGTACACGCTTTGAGACCACGCAGTAATGGTTGCATGGTTGCACTTTGTTGTACCTATAAGAAAGGGATTTCAAATTTATTATAATGACAAGCGACTCACCCTCGCTTTGCTCCACTTTATCCCTAGCTACGTTACGGTTAGCATAAAATAGATAGACTAATATATACACAGGTGTAGAAAAGTAGGTAAGTACTTAAAAATAAAAAATATATATGTATATCCTTTACTTTAGAAATGATTGATTCCTCATTCAAACGTCCACACCCTTTTACACGCCCTTAAGGGATGTTTTCCGGTACAAAAATCTTATGTCCTTCCCAGGAATTCAAACTACATACTAAATTTCATCTAAATCGGTACAGTGGATTAAGCGTAAAAGGTAACAGACAGACAGTTTATTTATTTTTTTGCTTGGTTTGTTTGTAGGTTTGTTTATTTATATATTATGGCATGGAGTAACAAATGATATTGTCAAGAATAATAGACACCAGTGCGAAGCTAAGGTAAGTCGTTATTATTTTATATGGAAAACTGTGTTTTTTGTAAGAATCACTAGAATGGTGCGTGAAAGTGTACATTTTAGATTTAATTTATGTACATTTTTTCAGTGTAGTGTAATGTATTTATCTAATTTTTGTCTAAATTTGAGATAGGTATTGTATTTTAATTCACGGAATAAAATAACGATTTTTATGCAAAACAAACAAAAGATCTAAAAGATTTCTCAACTAAATTACCTGTTCTAAAACCTGAGCGAGAGCTTCGTGATTCGCGATAACGACCGCCCCGTAATTATCTTCTAAGTTCTTATGAACTACACTCCTGCCTTTCCTTACGCGCAATTTGTTTGTGGTTTTCGAGATATCGCTCTGATAATCTTCATTAGACGGACTGTCCATGTTATCGTTCGAGCTGTAGAAACTGTATGGCGAATATATCTCTGACTCGGTCTCACTCCCACAATATGGTAAGGATGTTCTAAAACCGTTGTATTTCGGGAATTCTGTGCCTTCAGTTTTTCTCTCTGTACGCTCTTCTCTTGGTTTTATGGATGAATCACATTCTGGCGAGCTCGATCTAGCGTTGTGAACGTATTCATAATCGCTGTCACTGTTCTTTGAATCGCAGTTCTCTTCGTCGTATTTGGTTGTGTATACGTCGTCGTAGTTATGTATGACGGTCTCGTTGGTTGCTTGGACTAGTTCTTGAGGCTCATCTTCGTCTTTTTCGTCGTCTGATGGTGTACGACGTTTGAGCAGTTCTAAGTGCGATTCACGTTCGCGCATACTTGCCGTTCGTTCTGGTTTGCGTGGCGCCAACGCTGATCTGATCTCTCCTGAAATTTAGAGAAATCTATAATTTATACGTTTTATTATATTAATTTTTTTTGTAATAATGAAAGGTATTTAAAATGAACCATTCCGATCATTATTGATTTGTAATCCGACTATTATTATAAATGTGAATGTTTGTTTATCACTTCATGTTCAAACAGCTGGACGAATTTAGATGATATTTAGCACACAGATACATTATACAGTAACATATAAGCTTGTATTAGGCATCTGAGGACGAAATCGAGTCAAGCTAGGGATGTCGTTTGTATGTTAAATTTAAAGTTTTTATATTGTTAGTATTTCAAATATTATTTTAAAGCCCAAAAAAAAACTCAATATATACATTACCTAAATTAGCATAAATGTTGTCATCCTGTTTAGGAGCGGCCGTCCAGACTTGCTGTTTTTGTTTCTTCTGTAATGCAATAGACTTTGGTGGCGGCGGTCTTGCCGGCTTTGGTACGTTAGCTGCCGATTTGTAATCTTCGCTAGATACCCTCGGCGGCGGGGGTGGCTTGTTCAATACTCTTGGTGCCGTTTCTTCGTTACTACTGCCACTGTATATAGATGAGACGTCGTCGTGACTCAGCCGGCGTAAGTCAGTAATTTCGCAATTTGATTTCACCACTTCAACGCTCGAGCCGTTTATATCCAATGGATGTATTATAACAAGACGTGGTTTCGGTTTTGGGGTCAAGTCGTAAATCTCTTCAGTTTTTGTTGCGACTTTTGTTATAGTGGCAACTGAACAACTAAGTTCTTTTTTATCTAAGTCCTTTGAAGACCCAATACGAAGTAACTTTTTAATTGAGAATTTCAATTTGCCTTTACGTTTTTCGTCCAGTAACAAGTTGTCATGTGACAATGAAATGTTTCTTCGTGGAGCCGGCTCTGGTACGATATCCGGCTTCTTCGACTCGTCATCACTATTTCTTAGTTTTGGTAAAGTTGACATCACAGCTCTTTCACGTTTCTCCATTTCTCTAACGACCGGCGAATCTGATTTCATAAATCCATTTGGATTTCTTTGGTAAAGACTACTGGAATATTCCTCGGTAGGCGACAACGGGGGCGTCGGCGCTTTTCGTTTACACATACTACTTAGCGACGTGTCGCTATCTTGTTTCGTTAGTACTGGTTTAGCGTAATAAATGGGATCTGACTTTTCTTCGCCTTCACTACTTCTGTGTTCGCTCATGTATTTATTTTCTTCCTCCTCTTTTTTCTGCATATGAGTAAGAACCTGTTGTGTTGTACTTTTTTTAGATTTAATAACTGGTTTGGCAGGCAGCTTTGGTTTTTCTGGCGGGACCGGTTTGTTTGGTATTATGTCACCAATCATGCCGTGTAGAAATGATGGCCGAGGGTCCATGGTGGGTACAGGGCTGCTGGGTAACGCTGGAGCTTCGGACGTATCATCAGGATCTGCCCTCCCATCCGGTTCGCCCGCAAGTTCGCGACTGGCTTCCGCGGAGAAAACATTATCCGTTTTAGGAATTATAGGCGGCATGTCAATGATCGGGCTTTGGAATGTCGAATATCCACTACCGGTTTGTCCGTCTACTTTCCTTAATTGCCCGATCGGTGACATTTTAACGTTTTTATCTTCATTGTATACTTTAATTTTAACTGTTTCTTCGATTTTATGTGATTCAGAGTAATGTCCACTATCATCATTGTCCGAATCAGTGCGACCACTAAAGCTTTCGTCGTCAGATGTAAGTGAATTATTTGCAGTTGAGTTAAGTGTACCTACAGCAGAATCAACACTGCTGTTTTCGATGTTAATTTTACAGAATTTGAATTCTGATCGACTAAGATTCACTTTTGGCCTTTCTTGTGTTTTGTTCAATGGAGATTTTCTTACAATACTATTCTTTTTAATTTCATTCATCTCCTTTTTCTCGAGGCATTCATCTTGCATACTTTGTTTCATTTTGCCCTCAACTATGGACGGTTTATTGCACTCTGATTTTATTAAATTAAGATCATTTCCACTTATTCTGTTTTGTTGTAAAGTTTCTGATATTTCTTCGAGTAATGACTTTTCTGTGCATAAAATACCATCAGAGGCTTTCGAACCTTCAGAAGTAATTATAGTTTCAGATTCTTTAATGTATGTGGAAAGAATAATATTAGTTTTATATCCATTTGATGCGTCCTCAGCTGCCTGTTCAGCTAAGTTTATGACCGCGGGCTTACGAGTATGAGTCTTAACGGTAGGTTTATTTTCTTGACCGAATGGGGTAACCGAAACCATTAATGTTTTCTTTTTCCCATCGGAATCTGTTTGAACTTTTCCTAATAGTAATGACGTATATGATTTCGCCACGGATTCTCCGAGTAAATTAGCTTTAACGGTATTAAAGTCCGTATTAGATTTTGTTATTTTATAAAGCTCCCTTTCTTCTTCGGTATCTGGGAACGTATCGTCGTCATCATTGTCTTCTGAAACTTCGAATTCTTCACCATCTGACCAATCGTCCCCTCCATATCCAATAACACTGCATACTTCTTCGGGAAAACGTACATTGCGCTTTCCTTTCTTCTTAGAGTGTATTTTAAGGATACTCGGAGGGGTTTTCTTAAAGAATGTGCTTCTATGTTGGAATGGTGTCGTTAGGTATTTGCTGCCTTCTGTGGTTCTTTCCTGTTTCGAGTGTTCCTCGCGTGATTTGAAACAATTAGAGCAGAAATCCTTCTTCCACGCATTCTGTACGAAGTTGTGGCAGACCGGTGACATTTTACTCTTGGTATAGCGTCTGTTGATTACATAACTGGCATTCTGAAATAGAAAATAGCTACATTTAGTATAACTTGTTAAGAAATTATGGGCAATTTTAGGGATATAGACAGATATGAGGTAGATTATTAGCATCGTAATTAAAATTTAAATAACATAGCGTGTTAAAGTTTGCCGCACCAATCGTATGTTACGTAAATTGTTACAATACTCGTGATACAAGTTTTTGAGTCCAATTAACAACTTTATTGCTGTTATTGAAAAAAACATCATTACACGCAAGAATATCATCTGATATAACTGGATTTCTTAGGACTAGACACGTAACAGGTTCAGGTCAACGGTATATGGAAAGCGTACGGCGTTGAACTTGTGTGAACTGTAACAAGGTGTTGATACATTGTCACGGTTCGATTTGTAATGTCAATTTCTAGGCTGATTTCTTTAAATATATAAGCTTACATATTATATAAGGAACTTGATGCAACTGTTAAAATTTAGGAAGACCACCAATATTCGAATCCTTTCTCAAATAGAATATAAGAATCATATAGGTATTTGAAAAATTATTAAATCTCTTGATTAGGAAGACTTATTACAGATATTACATAGAATAATCTATAATATCTTCATCATATTAAAATGTTATTTATAACATCACCCTAATATAAAAAAGTAAGTTTACCAATATAATACAGTATGTAATATTAAGGTTAAATAACTTCAGACGTTATCAAGCAATCTACAGACAGACACATATCTTTTCACATTCATATAGAAGGATAATATTATGTATAAACCGTTAGTCAGCCAGCCATCGACGTACTTTCTCCAGACGTAGGTCACTTTACATCAAATAAATATTCATACGCATACATAGAGAAATTGTTGATATTGCCAATTACCGCCTCGTGTGCATTGTTATTCTTAAGCACTCGCATTTTATAACAACGTTATATAAATACGTTTTGGTTTATATATATTTTTTTTACAATTGTTAAAACTTCTCAAGAACAGACATTACCATTTTTCTTGAAACTTTCCATTTCGACGTTGGCAGAAAACAAACATATTATTCTTTTTTTTGTTTATTATTATATTGAGTGAGTGATGAAAACAAGATATTTATATTCTTTTGGTAATTTACTATAGGCGAGAATCGAATTTGCGATAACAAGCACTGCCAGTGTTGTGATCTAAGCGACAGTTAACTTTTTTACTCGACTATTATTAAATTTCAATGTCAATTTCGTCGCCATTAAAATAAAATTAATATTTTTTTTAATAACTGTGTAAAAACCAACAAATTGTCATATTTTATTATATTATGATTATGATAATAAATATTTATGATCTTTTATAAAGTATCACGTTATATTCAATTGTTTCCAAACATTGCTTCATCATGATAGACGTTAGATCTGTTTTTATAGTCACATTCATATTGATGATTCATTCCATCTGTCGATTGCTTAGATTAACTGTTTATAATGTCGAGACATATCATTTAATCGTCTCTTTAATCATACTTATAGTAAAACTTTATTTTTTTAATTTAATTAGTAACTGCAAGTTTATATAAAGCCATTTATGTATTGCAATATTTATCATATCGATTTTATGTTGATGCCCTTTATGTAATTATTAGTTATCGATTATTAAATAATCATTTGGAAAAACTAAAGACTTTCGTATTAAGTACATGTGTTGGCGTGCAAGTGTCGTTTCACAGGAACATTGAGAAAATAAGCAGTGCGTAAACAAATATTTAACGTGTTCACTTCAAAATGTGGTGAAATTATTTATTTAAGGAGAAATTGTTACTTTCTTATTGCAAATAAATTAACATTACTCAAGAAAAGAAAAGTTTTTATATCGTATTATAAAAATGTTGATTACTTAAGAGCTCTTGTCTCTTTTAATAATTATTATGTGAAGAAATAAATAAATAAAAACCAACAGACGTATATTTTTAAATTGACATAATTTTTTTATTTATGAGTCGATTGAAATAAATAGGTACTAAATCTCAAGTGAAGCTTACCACAATACATTAGTGAAAACCGCACCTAAATCCGTTTCTGAGATTAGCGCGCACAAACGCACAGACAAACAGAGAAAAAATCTAAAAATCATTGTTTTGAGTTTTATTGCGTTAGCAGACTTCCAATAATAGTTTTTCTCAAATATATTCCATGTACAGACAGCGATCAGTTACAATTTTATTATATGTATATATATATAATATTAATTAGGATAAAATGACCTTTGCTTTGAAATACAAGATATTTACATTTTGATTAAATTTTACCTGACTGGATATCACAAACCACAAGGTTATTCTTAAACAGGTATTAGTTATAACGTATTCAGATATCTGTGTTTATTTGTAGTGCTCTTTTCATTAGCAAGTAAAAAGGTCATTTTGTTCGACAATGATGAAGATTTGGCACTATAATATTGTTGTTATGAATTTTGCATCTGCGTTATACTTAATAACTATTTTGTGTCATAGGTATCTACTTAAAAGTATATGTACAAGTTAGATATTATAAGCTTTATTTTTTGTAGATCTATTTGTATAAAATTAAAATAAGTAAATCTGTCAATGCGAAATAAATCTATATATAAATAAAAACGTGTTTTTTTTTCGTCTTTCCATTTTTCACGCATATGCAGTGAGTTTAACACTCTTTTATCAACTCCACTTCAATAATCAAATCCTGGAAAGCCGATGTACCTCCTTTTAATCGATCTGAAACTTTGCTGATATGAAATTCAGGTGACAATATAAGCATTTTGTACTAAAGTTAGGAGTTTGATAGTGGAAATCTTCAATGACAAATAATTTAGAGATTGGGCTTATTTCATCGTTTCCTTCTTTCCATGGTTTTTTTTCTTTATAAAACTATAATTATTACAGAGAAATTATTATAAAGCCCGGAAAATGGAACTGGTTATATTTCATCTCGATACATGAAGTAGTTTTATCTAGAACGGATATTAGTTTGTTTTTAAAAGCGTTTGAGGGACTACGAGTCAGTAGTTTCATATAGGTATTATTCAACTATTCTTCTGTAGTAACACGTTGAGTCAGTGGTATTCAGGTATATATTTAACTGCGTCCTACATCACGTCACTGAACATGTATATTTATGTTTTCTTTGTGGACTCTTGAAGGATATTGGGAAAATTGTATGAATAATGAGCAACCAATACTCGATTTTTCCGGTATTTCGAGTATCTGTGCTATAATATATTAACATTGAACAGCTTATGTAATATTAAACAAATATTTTAACGTTTTTAGATAAAAAGTGTAGTTCTTTTAAAACAATATTAATTGTTACTATTATATTTCGCTTAGGCTTCGTATGCCTTTCATTGTGATTAGTTGAGGTATTGAAGCATCTCAAGAAGTGAAAAATAAGCACCCTTTCCGACAAATATTTAAACGTGTGTAGATAAATTAATTAAATTAGTTTTACTGAACATAAAAAATAGTATATAACACCTTTGAGACGTCTAAAATCTTAAGTCTCTCCCGTGACCATGATTGCTGTTAAGCATTGGAAACGTCTGGAACAAAAAATCTAAATAAATCCGCGAAATAATCCGAAAAGATAGTTTTATTTAAAATGAACATAAAAAAGTTGAAAACAAAGGAATACGTCGACTATAAATGAGTCACAAATAAATTCCGATACGATCAGTATTACCAGTTCGTCTTTAAATAATCTATTTATACATTTTTTTTTTAAATAAATGATCGTTAACTAAAATATAAAATATCGGTATGAAATTTTATAAAAAGAATTTTTATAAGCATTATATTATTTAATTGATGGTAATATCGTCATCATAAGTTTCAAATTCCTTTGAATTAATTTGTAATTTCTGTACTAATAAGAAACATTTTATTATAAATATTTAAATTATCATGTAATTGCATAGTTTTACACATTTTTTTACCAAAAGAAGTTTCAAGATGTTTTTGAAGTTAGTAAAGGTCGATTCGAAAATATTTAACCGAGCTTCGTATTGACAGATTAACATTAATTTTAATTATATTTCCAATATTAAAGTGTAAAAACGTTGTAGAAATTGATCAATTTTAGTATTTATATGACAAGGCTCCATACATATGTACTACTGTTTACAATTTCTAAATAGAACAACATTTACTCTTGTTAATTTTGAATTTAAGTAAGTAGATACAATCTAACTTTACGATTCCATAAAGAAAATATAACGCAAATCGTGTATAGATAGGGAATAAACAAGAATGGGCTCTTGAATAAGCAACAAAGAGCAAGATATGTGCTGAAAGGTTTTTGACATTTACCCTTCATTGAGTATAGCAAGTATTTTTTCAAGGTGTTCCTTGGTCTTTAATAAAATTAAAATTTCTTTAGATCCACTTTTAATGTTTTTTTTACATTGTTACACTTACAGGTACAGCAAATATTCATTAATTATTATAATAATTGAACTTGACATAATTTATGAACGCCATTGTGACTATATAAACATAATATACATATTATATATATATATATATATATATATATATATATATATATATATATATATATATATATATATATATATATATCAATGTTTTATTTATTATGTTTAATGTTTATACTAAAATATAATATTTCTTTATAAGTGAATATGGATTGAAATAATTTATCTAATATGAGTTAAATAAGAAATGCGGTAAACATATGTATTAAGTAGTAATAATAAATTCGACAGTTCAATTAGGTTACATAATCAATATTCTCACGAATTTCATGGTTATTCAAACAGCTAATTGTCAATATTATCTTGGTAACAATCTGTATGATCTTTCATAGGTGTTTAAAACCTTGGCCTGATGGCACAAGCACGAAACTTCCAGTAAATTGATATTTACAAGTAGACCCGTGACCAGGAGCTGGGCGTTAAAAAGGGCTGAATACAATTCACGTCTGTTTATATAATTATGCATATACATACATACATACATATATCTTAACTAAAATTGCCCGCGGCTCCGCCCGCGTTCTGATGACTAAAAACCCAATTCTTAAGTTTTACATATTAGTATACTCTTGCATTGAAGTTTTTGTATTTTTACTCAGAAATGAGACATTTTCCTGCGGTAAAAAGTACCCTATATGTTGATCCGGATAACCAGCTATCACCGTACGAAATTTCATCAAAATCCCTCCAATGGTTTTTCTGTGATGCGGCAACAGATAGACAGACAGACAAAAATCTAAAAACTATACATTCGGCCTCTGTATCGATAATAAAGTATATTTCAATAAGATTTTCCAAAAAATATTTAATGTACAGATTCGGCTCAGTTACAATTTTATTATATGTATAGATTAAATTACTGAAATAGCTACTAAAAGTAACCAGTCTAATACATTATGTCCACCTATAAAACAGGTTTTGACCTTTAGCAAATTAAGTATGGTAGATATATAGGTTTGAGTGGTTTCGATTGATTCATTTCATATAGTGCCATAATCAAATCAAACAAAGTCGAAGGACACTTAGTATTTACAAAGTAATATATATCCATTACTAGTAATCTAGGCCAGTCTTTATAATGAAATATCAATAAAACACAGGTGTTAAAGCCCTAGGCAATACTGGCATTGGGGTCGACACACTTGGGAACCGGTACAGTGAAATTGAGGCGTCACGAAACATGGCGTTGTTATGGGACCTACATATAGGCAAATAGTTTTAACAATAAAAATTCGGTCATTACCACATACATATTTTATATATTTGTTTGCAATTTAGTAATGTTTGTTTAAACGCAATATGTGTTTAAATTTGTACTAGATATATATTGTATGGAAATATTTATAAGTAAAAAAACATGTCCAGATGGTTAGGGATTTTAAAAGAGAGAGTTTGAAGAATGCTGAATGAT